CCTATTTATAACTGCCAACCAAATGTGTGGAACATCAACAGACCTGTTGTTCATTTCATATTTCACTTACTACACAAAACCTAGGATTGTATGGCATCCCAATGAGAGATTGTTTAAATATGTCAATTATAATTGTCATATATTATGCAGTATACATTGCACACCAATGTCAGGGATGTTGAGATATGAAAGGATTATTGAAGCGCAGTGCTCTAAGTCTTAAAACATGCCTGCAAAGTAGGTGTATTTGTAGCATTTTGCTTCACTGAGTTATTTCCGGTATGAAGTGGTAGTAATGGTAAAAACGAGAACAATACCAATGAATATGGAGTTACTTTTTGCACTGGGGACTGTTTCAAACATTTTGCATAGTTTCATAAGCACCACCACAGTGTCCTCTGAGATAAGCACTATTTTCAACTCCATTTTATTGATGAAACATTGAGGCATCGAAAGGCTAAGCAATAGCTAATAAGTGACAGGATAAAGTAGGCTGCTCTTTCATTAATGTGTTAGAAAAGCTTCTTTTCCAGAAGTAAACTAAGTATCTGTCTTGGGGCTATAGGAATAACTTGCCATGTAATGATTACGGTTCCATCAATAATTCCATTTGGAGGTGGTGCACTGAACTCCCTAGAAGTTCCCCCCACTTTCACAGGACTGACCTCCATGTGGCCTGTGCCAATAGATGTCGAGAAGCGGCAACTCTCCTTGCAGAGAAAATGTGTGACAGCAAAAACAGGACCCCGACGATAGTATTCAGTAGCCAACTGGATGAGGTGGATTTGATTAAATACTTAGACTGGAAATGAATTCATCTCACTACTATCACTTAAAAATCTCTAGGTAGCAACACCTATGCAATGTTTGCAGTGAGCTGCTAGGACTTCGTCTGTTTCTTGCGTGCACTGACAGGCAATCTCAGCCCCAGGAGCAGTGTGCTGCGACCCCACAGAGCCTGGGGCTGACCGCAGGCTTGTGGCATCAACAACACTCTGCTTTTAGTACGGGAAACAAAACTTACCTGGGACATAGTCTTTGTCTTTGAGCTCAAAACAAAATCAATATGATATAAACCTTTGCCACTGTTGACAAGTTTCTTCTCCAAAAAGAAAGTCTTAAGAGGAAAAGGGAGAGAGCAATCTGATGTGCGTGAGCTGATTTGCAAACCAACTAGAGATTGTTCTTTATTCTTAGACAAGGTACCCTCCTCCAGTTTTTATAATTCTTATTTATGAATGTTGAGTGAGTTGTAAACTTGCCTTGAGATCAATATTAGGAGACTCTGAGGGAACCAGATAATCAGTGAACAGGAACTAGGAAACAAATTAGCTCAGTAATTTGCCTCTAAAACATAACTTTTATAGATCCAGGTTTGTATGACTTGTAGGAAGTGAAAGCTAACTAGATAATTTTTAAAAATGATATTAGTGAGTTGACCTTTAAAACATTACTCCAGAACAATTGGCATCTCTATTTTTTTTGGCTTCACATGGCTCAGTTTTTTTCTTCCTTAATAATTTCATATAGTTAACCTGCTTTACTAGTCTTTAGAGTAAGCATTTTTGAAACTAGACAGCAAGATTATTATAAAAGTGCTTATCGGAATTCTCTTAAATAGAAATACTAACAAGTTCATTTCTTTGTGAACTGTACAATTTAAATTCAATGGCTAAGTTTTACCCTTCATAAATGTTGGCAGTTGGTAAATTAACTTTCTTGAGTGTGATCTTTGGATTTAATTCTAGAGGGTGCCCTGAGACAAACTGTCCTTAACTTTTTTTTTTTTCCTGAAGGCAAAATAGGGAAAGATGATCAAGGGGGTGAAGGGCTGTAGAAGTCATGAAGGAACTGAAAAGAAAGCTTTCTCTGACAGAGGGGTGGGTGGATGATGGATCCATCAGTGTGCAGCTCTGTTATGTGCTAGCTGCCTCAGGTGCTGCTTGGTTCTCTTTGATCGCCCACCAGGGGACTATCTTCTTCTCTAGAGCTTGTTCCTCTAAATTACTTCTCAGTGCCAAATGCTTCATTTCTCAAAATAACGAGTAAAGTGGACAAGGGTGGTGAAAACAAATGTCGAAAATGCCCTTGAGGGGAAGTTTGTTTTTTAACCTCTTCATTGGTTTGCTAAATCTATCTCATGACCTCCTTCTGAGAAGCCCAGAAGCAGCAGAGCTACCTGGGAGTCATTTCCATCACTGACATCCCCTCCCCCCCCACCCCCCATGTGAATTACCTGTGAGCCAGGAGTCCTCCTAGAAACACAGACACTTCTTTAGAACAATTTTAGGCCTAGAACTCTAAGACCTGAATTCCAGCACATTTTTAGGTTTAAAACATTGTTTAATGGGAAAGTCCATTTACTGTTATTTAAAAAAAACCTAAGTCATTAGCAAAGATTAAATTCCATTTACTGTTACTTTTAACATTGCAAGGCATTAGTGAAAAACGAAATGTTAAGCATTTCCTGTTGCAATCCTCACAGTATTAAGGAGCAGATCAGTCCCACCTGCACTGCAGCCTTTACTAATAGCCTAGTGCCAAAAGTTTATCTTACTGCCAGAGAAAACGTGGTATTTCCCCCTTCTGCCTCAAACCAAGTAACAGCCACTGGATTGACCAAGGTTAGTCGTGTGACATCCTGTCTCACCTCTTGGCTGGCAGGGGTGCTCCTGGTCCACCTGGCCCGCCTTCCCGACGGCCACAGTACCATTGCACCTGCCTAAAGCGACCAGCAGGTGGCAGCACTTGAGAGGTACTCGGTCTGCAGGGAGGGCCGAGGGGGCTCCGGGTGGCTTCAGCTGAGATTGGCCGAGGCAGAAGGGACTAAGCAGATTTCTGTTATTTTAGAGGCATGGAATGAGAGGATAGAATGACAGGATGTAAGCTTACCGAATGACTTAATGAGATATCCACGCCAAGGGAGGCAATTCATGGCTCCATCCTTAAAATGTTCTCATGGCTTTTTATAAATGTGCCTATAAACTAGTACTTTATTTGAATACTTAAAACTTAGAAGTTTTTCTCCCTGAAAGCATTTTTAAAATATCTTTCCCCCCTCTCTCTTTCCTCATAGGAAACATAATTGGTAGCCACGGACATTCCTAGGGTGGACTGGGATTCGTGCTGACTTTGGGCAATTTGGCATCTGTTCCAGTTATGTGCAACTTCCAAACCTTTTCTTTTAGTCAGTAACCAAATAAAACGTATTGGCCACTGGCTTCTCTGATTATGCTCTGTAACTTGAGCATTGACTTCAGTCCCTGTGTAGTAAATAGTGTGTGCTGTGTGTCGGGATAACTACATGTTTGTGACATGCCCTTCTCAATAGCCATGATTAGCTCAAGTTTGAAGTCACTTGAGATGGGAGAGTAATGAAATGACTCTTGCATCTTTCAAAGAGAATCAGTTAATATACACAGGTTCTTCGGTAGATCTTTAGATATAACTATTTTGAACCCACTATTATGCTTCTAAGTTTAATAAATTCAATCAAAACTACCTTCTGCCACACACTCGTGGAATGTTATTTATCAGCTTAGTTGTTTTCCCCACTATTGAAGAAAATGAACTAATCTTATGGTTCATTCTTAGAGGATTTGTGGAAAAGCAAGAAAACTTATGATTGTATAATGATGATTAAAAGCACCTAACACTGTCTGTTGTTACACACAGGTTTTGACCACAGGAGCATCCGTGTGTGAGAGACAAACCATGTGTGAACAGCGCCAGTGGGTCAGTGAGATGAGTGCACACTCAGATCCCAGGCTCCGTTGCATCCCAGCGTGATCTTACCCTGTGGGAGGTGGTGCCGGGATCCCCACCAACACCAGGCCGGTTAAAAAGCCATAGGGCATGAGTCTCAGCCTGGCCTTTTGAACTGTTTGGAGAAAAACCTTGTGTGTCATGGTTTTCACAGATAACAGACTGTTCTAGCAAACTGTCAATTATTCTTAAAATGACTTCAGTAAATGAATTGGACCAAGATAGGTCTCACCTTGTATCTTTTGTTGAAATCATGTGTTTTACCATTTTCTTACTGATTCCTAAACAGCAGGGACTAGGTCTTCATAAATCTTCCCTGCACTTTTGTGATTAGGTTCTACTGTATAGCTTTGTGATGATGACACTGTCAGATGCTACGATTTCTTAGACACAGAAGTAGCCGATAACATTTTGATAACATTTTGCTCATGCCCCTCCTCCCCCAAAAGAACAAGTTGTGATTTTATTTTTTGTGTATGTGGGGAGTGTTTTCTGTCAATGACCCAGTTGCCAGGGTACAGGGACAGGGATTGTGGCTGTTCACTCTCAGCATTATGACCTCAGACAAGTCACTGACTCTCTGGGTCCCTGCTTCCTCATGTAGCAAAGCTGCCTGGGGCCTCACAGCACGTAGGGGTTTGAAAGTTAGGTAGGAATTCTCATCAGTGCTCAACAGAGTGTACAAAAATTAAAATTCTACCTACAGAGCCCCATTTCCATATTCGTTCAGTTAGCTGCATTCTCAGAAGCCTTTCTCAGTGGATAGAGAAGGTCTGGTGAGGTCAGCAGAGACTGTGTCATACTCGAGGGGGAGAAGGCCTCCTCCTTTGTCTCCAGGCCTGCAATCAGGCCTGCCGTGTCATGTTCTGCTGGCTCAGAGCAGCCAGGGAAGCAAAGTGTTCCACAGAGTGACTCCTCGCAGGGATATTTTAACCTACTGAGTGATGTCATATCTTGATTCCAGAAATATCTGGGATCCAGCTCATGACAATGTGCCCTGATGTCTTGCCAGCTGCTGGGGTTGTCACTTTTAGAAAAGTCAAACCTGCTGCTGTCCTGGCCATGCTCACTCCCCGGAACCCGAGCCCGACTGCAGGAGCCTACCTGGAGTAAAGAGCAGCTAGAAGAGCCTCTGCGTGTCACATGGGGACGTCTACAGGGTGTTACCTGCAAGTGAGTCTTGAATCACGCAAGCCCAGGCAGAGTAAAAAAATTAAACAGTTTGGGCTGGAAGTTTATTTTTCATTCTTCTCACACAACAGTGCAACCTGCATTGTGTTCCAGTGACTGGGAGGCTTCCTGGTGGGTAAGTAGACTGACGTCAGGAAGCTGGAGGCTAAGCCAGTGCTCGTCAAAATTCTTGACCTCTCAGGTGTCTGATACACTGGGCATTCAAAAGTATAGAGCTCTGAATAGGTTTGAGTAGGAGTGCTGGGTCTTTCAGTAGAAATCTGAAAAAGAAAGCCCACAATTGAAAAGGCGTAGTTCAAGCAAATCAGTGGCTCCCACTTTTAATGTTAGGTTTGTGGGATTTGCTAAAAATTGAAGTTTAGATGGTTCTATGACTGCTCGTGGAAGTAATGTTGAAGAATGAACTAGTATGAACGAGTAATTATCATGGCCTCATAGTGCATTTATTGACAGTTTAGGTTTTAGCAATAGTTTGGGGGGTGTTTTAAATGTTTGCTGTCAGAAGCATATCACCAAATTTCCCCTTGTGAAGCTGGAGGTGTAGAAATAGAAGGAATGGTCTGTATGCATTGCTGAGGGAAGTTCAAAAGATTTAAGACTAGAGTAACAGATAGATAGTTACCTTTGTGGGCAAGAAGTATATTTCGGGAAAATCACAACATGTCTCAAAAGGCAGTGAGTCTTCTAGTACTTTCTGTTCATAATTCCATCTTGCTCCCTCAATGAATAAGCCAAAAATGTGAGCGCCGACATGTGAGTAACCTGCGGGCTAAGTTCAAAGAGAGGTGGGTCAGTGGGTCCCCAGCAGGTGGCTCCAGACAGAGGGCTGCCAGGGAAGGGGTAAGTCACAGCCCTTCTACCCCAGGGGGGACCGTGCCCCAACCCCCAAGGCCTGTTTTCCCAGGTGGTAAGGTATCAGTGCTTTGTATGCTCTGGTGTAAATAGGACGAAGCTATACTGCAAAATGTTTCAAACAGTGAGCTCCCAAGTTGCTGGAGTTATCCTCCTTAGTCCAGCTTTTTAGAAGACAGAAAAAATAGAGTCAAGACACTCTGCTCAAACTCTGTCACCTACTTCTATGTGCTACAGTGATTGAGCTAGGTTCTGAAAAGTCTACAAGACTAGGAAAGATTCTTTATCTTATTTTTGAAGGCTATGAGAAGGGTTAAATGAGTTCGGGATAAGTTCTGGTAAGTAGCAAATGTAGTTTCTGGGTGACCGAAGGTGCCTGGGCTCTCTCAGAAGTGTGCAGTAGCCACGTGGCCCAGCACGATACACTGCACCCCAGCCCACGTTCAGACATGGACAAAGGACTTGAATAGACACTTCTCCAAAGAAGATGCACCACGGTCGTCCAGCATTGCTAGTCAGGAGACTGCAGGTCGGGACCCCAGTGAGCCTCCTCTTCACACCCACTGTGCTACCCCTAGCTGGGAAACAGCAAGTCGGGGAGGATGTGGAGAAGCCTGGCACCTGGGGGGCTGTGGGCTCTGGGCGCCCTGCCGAAGCTGCCTCCCGCCATCCCCAGCACAGTGCGGTGTGGTCACGTTTCCCTGCAGGCTGGCTGGGGGTTTCTGCTGGGCACCCCCTCAAGTCTGGGATGAGGGGCGCCGGGAGGAGAGGCCTGCCCCAGGAGTCCAGACAACACACTTCCACCCTGACTGGTGCAGCGTTCAGTCCCCATGCAAAGTTCATTTGCTGTGGTTATTTAAGCCTTTTGTCCATTTAATCCATTTGTAATTATACCAACCCCCTGAGGACAAGAGTGGGAGGATGCAGCAGTGCTGGGGCCTGCCTTGGTATGCTGGCTCTCATGCCAGGGGGGCCTGGCCCCTCTGACGTGCAGGCAGGGGTTTGCTGAGGGTTTGCGTGAACGGCCGCCCTGAGGATCGATCGTTTGGTCGCTTCACTACCTTAAAGGCTCTCCTGAGGATGCTGACTTTCTGCTGGACGGCGATGGAGAACTCCTCGTCCTGCACGTCAGGGCTGTCAGAGACCACGTGATGGGTGAACGTGAGGGCATTGGTGGAGATTCCCTGGGACCTCCCGTAGTCTTGGAGTAAGGCAGTAAGAAAGGCTTTGGAGCAAAAGACACACTAATAAGTAGCTTGTGAGTCCAGGGGTCCAGGGCACTCCCCAGTTTCCCCATGGAGCCTTAACACAGATGTCCTGAGGGAGGAGAGCAGAGAGCGAGAGGCTGTGGGGGAGCAGGAGGCGGGTGTGAGTGTCTGGGCAGGAGGGGGGCTCCATCCAGTCGGGCACCGCTTTGGTGACATTAGCCTGGCTAGTTGATGGGGTTCTTGGGGGACAGGGGTTGCTTTTGTAGGACCAGTTTCGAGGGCCCTTAGATACTTCTGACCCAAGTGTGACTGATCATCTAGAATGTCATCTTCCTGGCAGTCTGGGGAGCTCTTGGAACAAGGACAACACCCAGGGGTGTCAGGGTCTTTCTCCAGAAATGACACATGGACTTAGAAAAGAACAGGCTCTAGCATCACTGTGCTGTTTACAGTCATTCCCTGCAACCCCCACACCTTGGTTGCATGGAGAAAGGCTGTGGACAGGAGGGAAAAAAGGAAGTGAAGATATGGTGGAAAAAACTGGGTTACGAGGAGGCAGGTGGAGTGTGACATGCAAAACAAAGGACCACCTGCATCTGCACATGTAACCAAAATGAAGAGACACCCCACTGAATGGGAGAAAATATTTGCACTTATACAATTGACAAGGGACGGATCACAGAGTTCTACAAAGAGTTTACTAACTCAGCAACCCAGTCAAAAATGTGCAAAAGAACTAAAAGTTACTTCTCCACAGAAAAAATGCAAATGGCCAACAGGCAGATGAAAAATATCCAACATCATTCATTGTCAGGGCAATGCAAATCAAAACCACAATGAGATATTTCCTCACACCAGTGAGAATGGCCCACATTAAACAAGCGAACAAAAACTGGCAACAACAGATGTTGGTGAGGATGTAGAGAGAAAGGAGCCCTCTTTCATTGCCAGTGGGGAGTGAAAAATGGTCCAGCCATTATGGAGGTTCCTCAAAATACTTAAAATGGAGCTACCATATGATCCAGCAATTCAACTCCTAGGAATCTACCGTAGGAACACAAAAAAGCTAACTTGAAAGGAAACCTGCATTTGTATGTTTGCTGCAGCACTATTTACAATTCCGAAGATATGAAAGCAACCCAAGTGCCCCCAAACAGAAGAGTGGATCAAGAAGAAGTGGTCTGTGTACACGATGGCGTACCTACTCAGTGATCAAAAAAGATAAACTCATGCCGCGTACAGCAACATGGATGGAGCTGGAAGGATTATGCTCAGTGAAATAAGCCAGAAGGAAAAGATAAATACTGGGTGGTTTCCCTTACAGGTGGAAGTTGGGGAAACTGAACAGAGGGTCAGGAAAGACCTCAGATCTGAAGCATCCAGCAGGAGAGAGAAGGGTCAAGAGAGGGGAGGGAAGTGAAAAGCACAAGGAACGTGGTAACAATTCACAGGTGCTGTGGCAGTGGGAGAATTGCGGGGGCTATACCTGAAGGATAAATCAAGTATCATACAAAAATGAACAATGATGTAATAATAATTGAAAAACAACAACAACAAACTTGCCTCAGTGATTTCGGAAAAATTACTTAACTTCTCTATGACAAGTTTTCCCTTTCTGAAAATCGGGATAGTAACAGTAATAACCCCATAGGAACATCATGGGAACTGAGTGATGAAAAATTTACAAATTACTCAGAATTGTGCCCGCACCAGGTAATTACTATGTATGGGTATGAGCGACTCTCTCTCATTCTAGTCCCATCTCAACAATACTTAGCCTGTGGCAAGTTCCAAGTCTTGGCAGTTTTTTCCTTAGAAGCCTTCCCTGATCCTTAGTTGAGGTCACCTGTGTTATGCTCCAACAGTATCCATTTATTCACATATTCACTCAGAAATCACTCATTTATTCTTCAAATAGTCATTGAGAGAGCTTTTTAGGTAACGGCGTTTGCATGAGGTGCCAGGGATACACCAGGGTATAAAATCAGCCCTGTCTCCTGTCCTAGGGGGTTTACAGTGTGCCCTCGGCTCTGGCTCAGTAGTTCTTAAATGGATAAATGGCTGAAGCACAGGCTAAGTGCCCGTCTCCAGGAGTCCTCCCTGGTGCAGAGGCCTTTGGGCGGATCTGGTGTCAACATTTGGCATCACAGAACCAGTAGCCTAGAGATGAAAAAAATGAGACAATGCCAAGGTTTGGGTGAATCAGACAACAATGGGCTATTTTGAAGGGGGGTGGTTCCAGAGGAGTAGAGACACTGCTTCAGAGCATGGGGAGGCCCTGGGACCCGGAGGGCATAGGTGCTGTCACCCCACAGGGAGGAGGGCAGAGATTGGACGTTCAGGTGTCATGGACAGACTTGCCCGGTCAGGTGCGGGCTGGTCCTTGTTCTTGTGCTCACCTTGTGGAAAGAAGAACGCTGGGAGCCAGTACCTAGTAGGAAATCCTTCAAAGAAATAATTCTTTGGATCATCAGCATGCTGAGGGATTTTACTGGACAGCGGGGTAACGTGCTTCCACGTTGAGATTAATCTCATGTACCTATCAGAAGGCAGACCACAGGCTGCAGTGGGTAGGGGCAAAGAGCTGCACAGAGGTTCCCCGCAACTCCCTCTACTCCTTGCTATGGTCCGCCTTTCCTTTTCATCTCCAGCTCTCCCCAACTTTGGGCCCTTGTCCTGTACTTTAATGGAAGCCAACTCCAGCTATGTCTTAAAGGGCTCCGGAGAGCCTGATAGGTTGGGTAACTCTAACATTGTTATTATAGCGGGAGTCCTGGCTGGGCCTTGGGGAAACTTGGTGGCTGTTTTGAGTTACTGACTCTCTAACAGGATAACACAAAAGGCTGATTCTCACAGACTTGGGGACCAGGCTTCTTGGGTTCAAATCTTAACTCTTCCACTTTATAGTCAAGTTACTTGTGACTCAATTTCTTCATCTCTAAAATGAGGTTGGTGAAAACTGGCAATCCTCACATCATACGTACAATTGCTATGAGAATGAAGTGTGTTAGTATGAGTAAACACACACACCGTCAGGCACTCACAGAATAGCAACTACTCACACCTTTCAAATTATCTTGTATAAGGCATTAACACCATCTAAAATGATATGTAGTTTCTTTCATATTTCCCCCTGCTCCCTTCACAGGACACAATGCAGAATAATGGAGAGAGAAGTACACTCAGTTCTGGTCCTACCTCTGACTCTCAGAGGAGGTGAACTTGGGTGAGGCTCTCAACCTCTTAGGCCTCCATTTCCTCATCCTACTGTGAAGCTAAGCATCCATCCCTTGCCTAATTCATGGTAGCCGTGAGAACCCCCAAAACTCCACATGGAAAATGATGCTGCAAAATGGTAAACACTAAGCAAAAGAAAGGAACTAACGTAAGGTACTTTGATTCATACCGGTGATGTATTGCTGTGTAAGCCATTTTGGCCCAGGTATTGAAGAAATTCACTCGATGGATGAGATCATCAACCCAGGAACTCAGGGGCTTACATGACTTGTAGGCATGTTTCTGTTGGGATTTAGAGAGAGACTCACATCATTTTCTTTAGATTAGTCTTTGGCACCACTAGGACATATCTGTGAATGCTGGTAACAGACAAAATTGTCAGAGTGAAAAAACTTGGCAGGAGGAAGTGCGTTTCCAGCTGAAGGTAGACCACGAGAAGTCTGCAGCCACCCCCAAGGTACACAGCATCATCTCAACAGCACGCTGGATCAGGCACTTGGACACCCACACCAGAGGATGGTATTCATCACTCCTCTTGAGTTTGTTTCATCTGTCCCTTCCCCTGCTACTCCACTTCCTGGCCATCCCTTTCCCCTTACCTGGGTAGATACCTCCTGCCACTTGGTAGGAGCAATTGCAACTTCCTGTCTTTTCCCTGTACAAAATTCTATAAATTCCTATTCACTGTCTGCTCCATTCCCCCTTTTTCCTTCCAGCTCTGAGTCAAGTCAACCCCTGCTCTGCTCTGCACCGCACCTCCCTCCGCACAGTCTGTCCTTGCATGTGGGCACCTGCATGTCTAGGCTGACAGTCTCTCCAGCTCACCTGCTCTTGTCACTGCTGGGTCTGCCCTTGTCTCGGCCACGGGCATCCCAACGGGCCATCTTCTCGCAACCTAACTTTGCGTCCAGCTTTCACTAGTGGGCTTTCTTAGCAGGCCATGAGGCCTCTCTGTTCCTCAGCTTCCAAATCTTAGTACGGACACTGAAGGGATTTCCCTAAGGCCCTTGCAAACTCTACGATCTCATGGTTCTAAATGTGTGAAGCCTGCAGACTCCACGGGTCATTTTTTTCACCAGTTTTTGGCCAGCTTTCAAGAACTAACAATGGTTATTGCTCTTTTAATCTCTATAATTCCCAGCTAGTCACAGCGTACTATTTAAAGTGCACATTCAATACTTTTCATGTATTCATTGATCATTGTTATAAATTCTGGAAAATTTTCATCACTTCAAAACAAAGCCTGCCACATCTTTTAACACCACTTCTCCTGCCCCTGTCAAACTCAGCCAAGCAAGCTGCTCATCTACTTTCTACTCTATGGATTTGTCTAGTGTGGACATTTCAGTGCTGATTATATTCTTGTTCTAATAATTTTGTGTTTTTACAAATTGGATAATGACCTTGCAATCATTTACTTTTGCTTTGTTTACATGTTTTGTGTTTTTTTATTTAAATGTCACTCAATTTCTGCTACAAAACAATATATTGTAGAAATATGAAAAGATCAAAAAAGCAAAAAGCAGAAATAGAAATCACTCATAATTCTATCACCCTAAGTAAATCTTTTACTTCTGTATGCATTTTCTTCCAATTCTCTCTCTCCTATCCCTTTCTTGCTCTCCCTTACAACCTCATTGATTCTCCTTATTTGCAGTAGTTATATTCCATAAAGTTGATCAAAAATTACATTTTTCTGAAATTAAAAAAATGAACAATATATCTTCAAGATGTTTCCCTATCAGCACATACCTCGCTAGTTACTATATCATAATTTAGCTAGCCAAAGTCCTCCTGAGTGGATATTCAAGTTGCTTTCAGCTTGATGGCATTATATACACCTCTCTGATAAACCTCTTTATTTAAGTAGTTCCAAATTGCCTCCTCAGAGGTTAGATTAACATGCATGGCTCACACCAACATACTCCGCCAGCATCTTTCAATGGTTACGTAATATTTCATTGTGAGGTTGGATCATTGTGACCTTAGCCCTCCCCTGAAACTAGGACATTTATTTCAATCAAACAAATAAATAGGAAAGAATTGCTTACCAGCCACAATGTTGGTATTCTCATATCAAGGAAAGAGTAATATATTTCCTCTAATTCTTGGGTCAGGATGATCACTCCTTTCATAGCAAGTTGGAAGTCATTCAAAGATTTATGTATAATAAATAATAAGTTATCAAAGCGTCCAATTTCTTGGCTCAAAAAGGTGAGTAAGACACAATGAACTAGGGGGTCATAGCCTAGGTTTAAAAAAAAAGATACGTTTATGACATTGCAGGAGAGGCATCTCCGTGTTCCCTGCCCCACCTCACGAGGGGGAGCATTGAGCAGCAAGGGGTTGCTTGAGCCACAGAAGGGGAGACACCTGGAGAAAGAGAGAGAGTGAGAGTGCTTGCTTCTCAGCTTTGGACTTGCACCCATGGACTTGCAGGAGAGACATGCAGAAACATCTGGAAAAGGCAAGTGGGCGAGAAACATGTGGGGAGGCTGGAGGCTGCCAGTGCTGATTTGTGCTTTGATTTTTCTCCGTTCATCCTGGCCCTGCCTGGCCCCTTCCACCCCTGTTCTGTGGTTCCCCTCCAGAAGGCGCCTGAGCCATGTGGCAACCTTTCCAGACTCAGTGGCCCTGTTTCAGGCCAAATCTGTTTGTTTGGACATTTACTCACCGGGGGTGGGTAACTTTGGATGTTTTATTGAGAAACTATTGTCCTTTCTTCTCTTTCTATGCACAACAATTCTATTAAAGATCTTTCACACTAACATTTGCTTGTCTTTGTGCACAGAGGTGGCCAGACCACTTTAAAACATGCAAGTTTGAGAGTCCTGGCTGGCCCTCAGTCGGCCCACTAACTATCTTTCCAATGAAAAACAGTTTTGTGTGTAGAGATATAGGTGTTGGAAAATAACAGAACTTTATGTACCTAGACTAGGGAGCGAAACACTTGTACAAAAACCAGTGAGTAAATATTTTTGGCTTTTGAAACTTCCCTTTTTTTCTATCACAACTTCTTAACACTCCAACTACAATGTGAATATCTTATGTGAATACACAGACATCATGTAAACAAGTGTGTCTGTATTTCAATAATGCTTTATTGGTGGGCATGCAAATGTGAATTCCATTCATGTGTTATAAAATATGCATCTTCTTTTGGTGATTTTCAAACACCAAAAATATAAGAAGGATTCTGGCTTGCAGGCTGGGCCAAAACAAACCGTGTTCTGGGTTTGGGCAAGTCTGAGTTTGCTGACCACTGGTCTATACTTAACAATATTAACTATGTTCACAGACTGTTGGTCAACGTTTAGTTCTAAACTGATTATTTTTCAGATATTGAAATATGGATACTGAATCCTACCTGGGCAAACTGGCACAATCCAACACGTTAGTCCCTGAGAGCTGAGCCTGGAGCTAGCTCTGGACAGCTAGAGTTTCTCTATCTCCCCTGGGCCTGCCTTCCGGTCTCTTATTCTCTCAGAGTCCAGAGGTCTCCCGTCAAAGGGCCCATCCGCACCTCCCTGCCACAATACTGTTCCCACAGGCAGAGGGAAAGCGAGCAGAGATCTAGACATCGGAGAGCATCTCTCCAGCAGAGATCTAGTTTTCCATCTCATTTTGGCCTTTTTGTCCTCTCTTCCTCTCTCCTGAAGCCAGGGGCTTTCCCTGAGGAAAGGGACCAAGTTCACGGGCCATGCTCACCTTTGAAATGCTTACAAAGAGACTCCCAAATGGGACCAGACATGATGCCCTTTAAGGTGCTCTGGGCGCAGGAAGAGTCCTCCTTCTCCACAGACCTTGGCAACCGCTTTTGTAAGTCAGATAAAATTTCCATCACAAATTCATTATCGTCCCTTTCTCGGCTGCAAAAGAAATCAAGAGAAGAAAGAGGTACTAATCTGCCCAACCCAAGAGGGCCCCCTATTTAGGTCCTATAAGTCTTATAGAGATTATGGTATTCATTTAATTTTACACACTAAAAAAAAAAAAACTGTCCATTGCACTTTAGACATCTGCAAGGAAATACGTATTTTTAAAGTTTTCTTTGGATTTGTGAAATATTCTTTATCTGAATTCATGAAGGAAGTGCGAAGACTGAAATGAAGAGGTGGAGGCAGGCAGACCAGGAGTGGTAAGTAGCCTCAGAGGTTATCCAGCTGCTTGTCAGGTTCCTCTGTAGTCACAACAAGGTCTCCTGATCACACTCAGAGCGCCGTGACAGGTTGGTATGAAGCTGTGACACTAAGCAATTGAGAGATTCTATATTTTTAGACTGCATGTTTAGATTTTATTTTAGGCTGCTTTCTCTGTAAGTTCAATACTGTATCCTTCAAATAAATATTGCTTAATTTCAAGTTAGAATTTTTCCAAGGGCGTTCTTTACCTGATCATGAGGCTGGCAGTGATAGCTCTTGGTTGCATGGCAATGACATTGTCAATGAACTTCTGGGCCTGGACCTTCCTGACATTTCCTGTGGCCTCAGGGTGCATTCCTAAGAGTTCAGGAGGGTCATCGTCAGGTAGGGAGTGGATAATGTGTATGCAGTCCTCTATACTTGCAGGCAATGGCACTGACTGGCATACCTGAAAATGTAAGGACTTTTTCAATATTTGCCTTGTGAAATGTGCACTTTCAGTAATGTGTGAATATAATACTTCCCCATGAAACCTGTCATAGAAGGTAGATTTTTGGAAGCTTTAAAACATTTTAAGCCAAATTATTTAACACTCTTCCTATCAATCTGATTCTGTAGCTGCTTGACTAGTAGAAAATAGAATAAAGATTCTGTGTCATTTTCTGGTCCTAGACTTTAAGTGTTAAAAAGGGGGAGAAAAGAAGAGAAATGCATTGTTTATATGGCCAGGAAAGTGGGCAGTGGTTGATTATCCTCAAGCAAAACTGATGTATTAATGAGGACCACAGAAAAATATCAGGTAACAATGTCATTGAGCTTTAAAAAAGCATCTTCTGAAGAAGCTAGGACTATGACAAGGAGCAGGAAGAGCTGGCAAGTTGGAATTGTCATAAAACAGGTCAGTGTTTAGGGTCCTTCCTGGTGGCACAGCGGGTTAAAGCGCAGCACTAAGAAGCTAAAGCCACTTCAGCATGAGTTCGATCCCCACCCCAGCGGTGACCCACATGGCGCAGCAGACCTCTCCTGACCCGCCTGTTGCTCCCCTCAGCAGTGTACTTCTTCAGTCAGCCTGTTCTGCTCCCCACTCTGTCGCTGGTGGATCCTCTCACTGTCCCTGCACCTCTGGCCTGTACCCCAGTTCTGATCATAAATAAACAAATCTTAAAAAAAAAAAAGTCAGTGTTTAAAGAAACTAAATAACTGAAATATGTGACCTCAGACTACAAGTGGGCTGATGGAACTTCTGTAAGGTACGGTGGGCTTCCTCATGTATGCACGAAACAATCTGTATGCAAAAACTTTCTTGGCAATTTAAAAGATTATCAAGGATAATTTTATTTTATGAGCTGAATTTAGACTCAATACCTAAAATGCTACTTAAACAGTTTATTAAGTGGAAATCTTAGTAACTCACAGCTTTTCCTGATTTAGCAAATATTCAAAGGATATAATTTAAGTCTTCTTGTTGACTCAACGGACTATTCTATAGATCGTATAGGTGAATCTTCCCAAAGCACCACTGTTAACATTTCATGCTCTCCACAGATGACCTGGATAGGATCTCTGTTTCTTGTAACGAGGGGCCCACCCAACTTACAACAACCACACAGGAAAACTTCCTTCTCTCTCACTGTATATTCACCTGTCCCATGCAAATTCCCACCCATCAAAATTGAAGTCAAGTGCAGCCTCCACACCCTCAGGTCAGAGGTCCCCAGAACTGTTACATCCACTAGCAACCATCTTCCAGGGGCACAGCTGTTCATGTGCACAATGCTTCTATCTAGTAAGAATGTGGGTGATTTACCTTTACAGCAGTGCCAATTACTATGTCTTGAAAAGGGAATGTTGAGATTTAAATACAGGTGTTAAAATAATTCAATAACGGTTAGTGAAAGTAGATAAGAAAATAGATTTTCTCTTACCTCATCACTAGAGAAACTGAAGTTATCTTTCAACACTTCGGGATTAAAAAATTGGTAGAGAAGGGTGTTTAAGCACCGCCGGTCCCAGTGGTCGGTGACCCAGCCGCCGTAGATGACCTCCCCGACCAGGTAGCGCAGCGTCTGCCAGGGGACCACGGAGGTCGAGCTCAGGCAGTTCCCCAGCAGCTTGATGGCGACCTTTGGGAAACGCACTGATTTTCATTCCAGTGCGTTTGTAGCTGACACTGATGTCTTAACATAGAATCAACAACTCAAATGGTTCTTTAAAAATAGATGGATATAGCAGGAGGAATAAAAACATGAGGACATACATTTCTCTCCATTAATTCTCTATTCCTTGTTGAGCAAACATGTACCTTCTTCGTATTTTGAATAGGCAAAATGAGTACGTTGTACTGAATTCAAAAGGTACAAAGTGATAAACAAGGACAAGTAGCTCTCACCTCTCCCTCCTCCAGCCACCAGATCCTCACCCTGGGGGCCATTCCTGTGAGCAGTTTCTTGGGCACCCTTAACCACCCATGGGACGTGACTGCTCACAGATTGACTCAGCCCCTCTCCTCCCCCTTCTCACCTTCCCTCTGCCACTCTCCGTCTCTCTCTTCCTCCCTACCTTTCGTCTTCTTTATTTTCCTGCCTTCCTTTCTTCCACAAAAGTGAGTTTTATCAATTCTGAAATCTCTTAGAGTTCTAATGAAAGCTGCATTGAGGGGCCTCCCTGGTGGCCCAGGGCTTCAATCACAGCGCTATCAAGTTGCTGCCAGTCCCTGCAGCATGAGTTCAATTCGCAGCCAGGGAGCTGAACCTCATGGTGCAGATCTCTCCTCTCTCACCAGTGTCTCCCCCCGCTGCTCCCCTAGGCAGTGTGTTTCAGTAGGTCTGCTTGTCCTACTCCCCACTCTGTCTCTGGTGAATCCTCTCACCCCTGTACCTCTGGCCAATACCCCAGTTCTTGATTTTATAACTACAGAAACCTTAAAAAAAAAAAAAAGAATTGTATTGAATTTGACTATTAATTTCTGAAGAATTGATACTTATAATATGGGGAGTCTCCCCATTCAAGAACACCTGGTATATTTATTTAGAAATTTCAAGATTTAAAAAAAGAGCCGTGGACCAGGCGAAAAAATAATAAGAATAATGAATAGCCATATACCAGAGACATTTTGTGGGGATGGAGTGGGGAATGGGATCAAAAAGGGGGGGGAGGAAAGTGCACGGGACTATGGTGATGGCACATGGGTGACTCAGTGATGGGAAACCCACGGGGATTACAATTGAGATAAAAAAAAGTATAAAATGATGTAAAAATAAACTGTTATATTATTAAAAAAAAGAGCTGTGGTAACAGACTATCTCTCCCTGTTAACTTATAACTTAGGTAATTCCCTTAAGTGTTCTGTGCCTTTATTTCCTTATCTTAAAATGCAGATAATTACTACTTAAGGTTGTAGTAAAAAATAATTCATGTAAGTAATTGGAAAAATTTAAGTTCTCGACAAATGTCCTTTTCCCCCCTTCTAATTTACAAGGACACATACACTTCTTGTTAAATTTGTTCCTGAAAATTTAAATCTTATCATTTTTGTAAATATGCTTGTCTTCTCTCCCATTTCTAAGTGTTTATTGACACTAAGAGTTCATTGGTTTTTATAAATTCATATTTTTATCCAGCTACTTTTCTAAATTCTCTAATTACTAGTCCTAATTTATACTGTTTTGTCTGTTTCTTAAAAGGCATTACTTGAAGTAATTAAAAAACTATTTAGATACAAGATTATATCATCAACAAGTGTCTCCCTTCTTCTTTCTCTTATTGTGCTGTGTAGAAATGTAGTAGGTCCTTATTTTTATATCTTACTGTCATGTACTTTATATCCTACTGTTATCGTTTGTTTTGAAGAGTCCACACTTACCTCCAAGTCTGAAGAACTAAATTCATAGGCAATATTCCAGCCCAATATGCCATACTTTTTTCTTTCATTGATCAGAGCATTGAAAAAACATAAGCTGAATAAGAGCTTTTTCCACCATGGGCCACAGTTAGGTTTTTCAAATATCTCCTCTGTTACTACTGAGCTCTCATTATACCCAAACGTCTGCAGCAAATTGTTTTTCAATCCCTGAGGATTTTCCACTGCAATCTTTAAAACAAACATGAGTAAAAAGAATCTGTGAGCACAGAGGTTCTGAAACTAGAGGGGTCTCTGGGTAGCACTGACAAAAGCATTAGCTAAGGATGGTAGCATTTTTCAGGTTCAGTGGCAAATCAAATATCTTGGGCTATTCTTCCTGTCCATGAAAATTCCTGTGAATGTGACAGATTTCTTTTGTTTCGATTCCTATCTTAAAATGAGATTAACTGTCACTAAAAGCATTTGATTCCCTCTAATTATAGAGTTCTGAAAGCACAGAATTTTAGGAACTTTGGCAATGACAGTTTCTGTAGTCTAAGCTTTCAATGACAGCTGTGGGTGAAACAGAACTGGGCCTGCATGGCCTCAGTGACGTGGCTGATAGAGGAAGTGTCAAATCATAGGAAACAGGACAATGGAATCAAAGGAAGTATTAGTCATCACTTACATCAAGGAGAGCAGTTTTTAAAAAAATCCTTTGGTAGCCTTCTTAAATGGAATAGCTGAAGTGAAGAGGGACTGAAGTTCAAGTGGAGGAAAGAACTAACGGGAGGGCTTTTTCAAGAGTTGGGTGGGTAAGTCCGAAACTGTGAAGTGTAGGAAATGTTCCTGTACTTGAATAAATTACATATATGTATATAATACACACATACATTTAACATGTAAAAATTGGTTGGGTCTGACCTACATGTGTGTGGGTATGTGTGGAGATGTATTATGTGATCCGTGGCTCTCTGTGTGTGTGAACATGAACATGAGATTTCAGGATCAGTGACAGTAAATTCACTTGGAGAAGCCAGAGAAAACTCATTTCTTTGTTTCCCATGAGTGAAGTTGATTCATTCTCAGCCTGGGGAGCCTGCCCTTCTCACCTGATTTCCTCACTCCCATCCCGCCCTCTGCTGATGTCTGCGCTGCTGTGAATGGGCCCAGCATTCTGTCTGTGCGTGGTCAGTGTTCTATGAGGGGCCAATCTTTTGGGCAACTGGATATTTGTTTAACAGAAGTGCCCAAGTCTTTATCCTTATTCAGACTCAATGTAGGAAGTGAGTAGAAGTCACACACAATACTTAATGAGGACTTTTCAGTTAACAATTTCAACCTGGTCTGTTAAGCCCCTTCTAGAAAATTAGTGAACTATAAAATAGTTAGGGAGAGCAAAGATAGGAAAAAGAGAAGCCAGAAGCAAGACAAGTACAGAATTTCTGTATTCTGGTTTGTAACATCCTTGTAGGAGAAAACAAATATCTAATAGAGCAAGGATCTCGTCTACTACTTTAGTACAGTTCATATAGGGCTGAGCAAAGAAATTTAGCAGAGTAGAGCAGAAATTTAGCATTTTCTTCTTAGTTCAGAATGATGAATGCAAGATGATGTATATTCTGTGTTCATCAATGTTTAAATCTGTTAGAATTTTTAAATAAAATTTTATTGATAATGATATTGAGAGATGTTACCAATTTATCACTGATTTATAGACTATACAAGTCTATATCTTCACGTCTACATGTGCACAAGCTTCACCTCCCCAACCAGCAAAGTTCTAATGCCCTTCCCACTGCCAGGCTGACACCTTTAACACCCCCTCCCACCCACCTCCTTGTTCTGGTAACCACTAAATGTCTCACAGAGGCTGAGAGCTACTTTTGTTGTGACAATCTGTCATGTTTTATCCTTACCTTCAAACTCTTTTGAAGAATAGAAACTGGGAAAGAACTGTCTGGTTTGGAACTTAACCACAGTCTAAATTTAGGGTCTATATTTACATTTGGATTATTAAGTCTGAAAAACAAAATATTCATCAACATTTTAATGCAAAAAAAATTGAAAATGGCATGTCCTAATAAACAGAATACTTTGAAGAGACCTTAAAAATCACTTAAATAATCAAAGGTCTTCTCTAATTATCTCCCAATCACTTTTTTGTTGCACAAGAATTGGCACAAAAGCCACTAATTTTCATTTTATAGAAGAATTTTTGACCCCTTAAGTAGAAAAGTTTATGCACTCATTATAAAGAACCTAGAAAAAAATTAAAAGAACAAAATGAAGAGTTCCTCTGGCTAGATGTAGGTAAACTGAATATCAAAATAATAAGGCTAGTAAGAGATTTCAATTTATTAATTAAAATATAAATCCATACAGATATAAATAAACAAGTAAATAAATAAATGAGATAAAAAGAAAAAAATTTCATCTAATAGAACATTATTTACAAATATATCAGAATTATGCAGTTAGAAAGCCACAGTCTAGCAGATACAGAAATAACTCAGTCAAAAATATCAATAGATATTGAAAGCAATGGTTGAAAATTTGAGATGGATATAGCTTATTTTTAAGCTTTTATTTTAAGCTTATTTTTAAGGCTTTTATTTTTCCTCTTAGGAATATATTGTTATTTTTTTTTATTTCTAAATTTAACACATTTCTTTCCACATTTTTCTCTCCCACTGTGGGTTGTTAGACTGCTAGTCTTAAATATTAAAATCTTGATTTGATAAAGAAATATAAATTTCTTAGTCACATTATGATTATATAATATTTTTGTGTGTGTATTGTTAGCTTTTTTAAAGGCCACTTCTTTAATTTCTTTTTTAAAACCAATCATCACCATCTACTATCCTATTGTTGCGATGTATTTACACTTTTGAACCTGATACAGTATCTGTCTGGTCCATGCTATGTCCTTAGTTTCTATAACAATTCTTGGCAAATAATAGGTTGGTCCTCTTTCAGGGTAAATATGAATAAGGGATCTGGTAGAAATTATTGTATCATTTTTCTAAAATGTATATCCTTTGAGATCACTTAACTAATCTGTTTCTTTTGATGAAATAAATGTGAAAAAGAAAAACTGCCAAATATATTTGAACTGATAAAATATGAACAGATAATGAAATAATTAGCAAAGATTTTAGAAATTTAAGTTAGGCATTTGTGTCTTGGTTTTAAATTTCCTTGAGCATATTTACAACTTAAAAATAACAGCATGAATATTGAACAATACTTGCATACAGAATTGGTCATATAAAGTAAAGCAAACAGAAAGGCAAAGTTGGGGGGTGGGGCAGAGTGAGGATGTGATGGACTGAAACAACTACTTCAACACTTGGCAAACGCAACTCAAAGTTATAGCAATTAACTTCTCCAGCCTCTCACTGCAAACAAGCACGCTGGGCCTATAGACATTTTTGCTTGAGTAAGTGCTTTGGACCCTACAGCTTTTTAGTGAACGTGTTGAGGTAGAGAAGGTCAGAATAAATACTCAAGGTAAGCCATAAAATAAACCATCACTGAAAGACTGGAAATGAGGTTTTGCATTCTGCTATTTGGAATCATCTTGACTATCAACACCAGGTTATAGGTCTATACTCTGTGTGTAGGTATGTAAGTATATTTATTGGGAACAAAACTTTGAGGTGAGAAAATGACAAGCCACATGGAAGGTAAAAACTAAAGAGCTCTTTGATCTTACAAAAGCTGATTTACTTAGCGTAGTTTTCAAATTCTTAGAGAAATGGAAACCCAAAGTATATAGTTTAAGCTTCCCGGAGTGGCCCAACATGTCATTGTATCATTGCTGAAGCACAGCATGTCTTGTCGTTTCCAGTTTGAGCTCACTGCTTATATTAATTGGCTACTTAGAAATGAACAGCTCTCTTACGATTCTACAATAGCGCAAAGCCTTGTCGTCAGTGACGCGGCAAGGTGGCAGTTCTGGAGGAAGACCCACTGTTCTGTCTCGCCTTGGGCCTTAGCGATGAGGTCCTCTGCTTTCGCTGCCTGGGTGCCACCCAAAGAAATCACATGGACGTGTTTCGTTGTTCCTTTTAACTCTTGTGCAAATTTCAGGAGAATATTTGTAATATCAGTGTCTGTATAACAACACAGAGAGGTGTATGTGGCAGTAAATTCACTTGCAGAGTAGAAACATCATACTCTTTAAGATGATTACCCAGAATTCAAACTTCGGCCCTGCCATTTACTAACGAGATGACCTAGAATAACATGGGAAGGACAATATCTACCCACAGCATCAACTACTGGCTCCCTAGCCAACCCCCACCCCAATCCACTCCTTCCTCTGTAGCTGAGCCCTGCCGTTCCCCAAGATGGCTGTGAGCACAGCCTACATAGGCAGTTTTGAGGAATACAGAATGGGATCAGTAAGGTCAATATCTAATTGTTTCTTTTATAACATTTTTTCTCATGAATCAATATTCATCAAAGTGCAAGGAAAGAAATCCAACTTTCAGATCAATAATACGTGTTCAGGAAGTATTTTCTGCACAGAAAATTAATGGTGATAAAATTTTCCATATTTGTGAATCTCAGAAATCTTATTCCTCTTTTTAGCTAACATTTTTTAGAATGATTCGTTCTTAATATAGCTTTATGTTCTAATTGGCCCCTTTCCCAAAATATTTTAAAATAAAATAGGAAAAAATTTTAAGCATAAAATAACTGGACACAGAACCTTTTTTTTTTACATCCTTTGATGATTCTTGTGTATCATCTTAACTGTCACAAACACCTTACCATGGGAATGAATAAGTATCAGAGGGATTCTGGCACTGGATTCCTTATATACTTCGTTCAGATTAATTCCACGTCTACACAGATATTCGCTTCCCATTTTTTCAGTTATAAACTTTCTTACTGAATTCTCTAAACATTCTGGTCTAAGAATGTTTATCTAAGGAAGAAAAGGTAAAAATTAACTTTCAAAACCACTGAAGGGAATATTTCCTATGGCAAAATGAAACAAAAATGAAGAAGTATTTATTATTTAGAGCACCAGAGCTTGAAGGTGCTGGTGCGTTGGGAAGTTTAACGGGAGTGAGTCTGTGTGTGGCCAGCAAAGGTCATCACTGCTTCTGAGCCTTGACAGCCCTATCCAGGCTGTCTAGACCGAGACAGGACTCTTTTTGAATCGTAGTTATGGTCCCTGATTCTGAAAAAAGAGACCTTTTCTTGAGTTTCTTCTTTCTCTTGTCCAGAGGAAAAAAGCCCACTCACAGAGAGGATATGAAAACCCAGAATAGCACAAGAGGGAGAATACTAACTCTCCCATTAAGAAATTGAAATGAAAATAGCACAATAATTATATGGTCCTGAAATCTTTTTTTTTTTAAGATTTATTTATTTATGCATATAGAACTGGGGTACAGGCCAGAGGTGTGGGGTGGTGAGAGGCTTCACCCGAGACAGTGGGGAGCAGAACAGGCAGATCAAGGAAACACACTGCTGAGGGGAGCAGCGGGCGGGTCAGGAGAGGTCTGCCACGCCATGTGGTCACCTCCGGGGCAAGTGGGGATCGAACTCATGCGGAAGTGGCTTTAACTTCTTAGTGCTGTGCTTTAACCCGCTGTGCCACCAGGGAGGGCCAGTCCTGAAATCTTAATAGAGCCCTAAGATCTACTCTACAGGGATTAAAAGACTTTTTCAACAGCATACAAATATTAAGTTCAGGCTCTTCTGGAAATCACTGTAAATTTCACAGGAAAGAAATGTTCCATGGAAATTGTTTTATGCAAGACATTATGTGCTATTTCTGGACGGAATGACAGTTCTGCCCTGAGCTTTTCACCACCACAGATGCCATCATTAAGCACAAACTGTGTGTATGCGCATCACCAAGCTGCCAGTGAGATGCTGAATCAACTGAGAAAAAGAAGAGTTGGGCAAAATATCACCTTTACAGAAAATAAAGGTCAAGGTGACAGATGTGGTTTAGGTGTGTGCGCTTCCTGAGGCTGAACACCAGGATGAGCCAGATTTACCTGTCACAAGCAGTGTAAGGCAGCTATTGGCTTCTTCCTAAGTGGCCAGAGTCTGTTTGATTTAATCTACAGCAGTGAGAAGTATCCTTCTCATAAGGAGAAGAAAATACGATGTTTGCAGGACAGCAGATCCCAAAAAGGACAAAGAAAGGGTTAAGCCATGCCCTCAGAACCCATCTTTCAAATTCCCATTCTATAAGGCCTTCCTCTTCTCTAGGGAGGAGTGAGTAAGGTGGGTTGGAATATTATTCTAATTGGACTTTCTCCAATTACAGAAACATTAAGATGGATTATAAATGCTTCTGACATTAATGCCAATGTGAAAAAGAGATATCGCCTATATATATATTATATATCGCCTATATATATATTATATATCTAATTTTAGATCTGAATGGTTTAAATTAGTAATAAAGTGCTCAAAACAGTCAGAATATCAATATTTTCTCACAGCACATCTTACCAAAATAAGTCTTTGAAATGGAGTGAGTTTCTCCCAGGGAAAATTTATAGGACTCTGAATTTCTTCATCTTCATTAACTGTAAGTACTTTAGAGGAACAATATAAGATTAATAATCAAATACTTTGGATCATTCAAAGTTAGCACAATGAAAATATGTTATAAAATTGTGATGTTTTTGTCTTTTAAACATGGCAAAGGGAGCTTTATTCCTATAGGATTTGAGTATCAAAAGCTCTCTTTAGAATCACACAAGAAGCAGTCATTATGATATATTTGAGTTTCATCTTGGTGAAGCGGCTGATGAGCCCTGTTGGACGGTGGACATCTGGGGACCGAGTAAGGACAAAGAAGGGCCGCGCCAGCACATTGTGACCTGCTCCTGCATAGGTGATGCTTTCTGAATAGTAACTAAACTGCAGAAATCTCTATTCATCATCTGCCTGTGATAGATATTAGAAAAGAGAACTAAGTAGAAATGCAAAAAGTTCTTAAGCTTTTGAAAAATTGAATAATATGTAATGCTATATATATTACATTAGTAACATAAAGATAGACGTGTGTGTATTACCCCACTAACCACTGCCCTCCAGCCCCGATGGATCACACATTTGCAAGGTGGGAAGCGTCTCAACTTCATTACCTCTGTCCCAGATACAGTTATCATTTCTATCTAACTTGTAGTCTATGGCATTTCCCCAATGCTCAACTTCAAGTACAACTTAGGTGACAGAATAGGTTATTTGAATGTAATTAGTATAGGTTTGTCGACCTTTAAAAAGTTGTCAATATGTAAGAATCTACTTACAAATTGATAAACCGGTAGTTATTTGTAACATTAAAAGATCTTCACTTTACAAAAATGTCCATAAAGAATTGCTTTAAATAAAAGATACTGACTCATAGTAAAATAAGTAATGAATGCAGGCGGATTGGTAATGCAGCTAAGAAAACAAAACAGTGATATTCCAGAGGGAATACGCTAGGAGAGAAGGAGAGCTTTTTCATCAGAACAGCAGATCAAGAAACTATAAAACAATAGGCATGGTTTACTGGACATTTAAATATTTCTATAGTACACATACAAAGAACAAACCCAATAAATCTTGACGGATTTTGAAAAAAATATTTGAATGGACAGATGAGTCTTTTTAATGCCACAGAAAGGTAATTACTTGTTAAACTACTGGGGCTACAGATATACAAGAAAGAAATAACCTATCCTATAGAAAAATGAGCAATGTACATGAACTACTAGTCCGAATTCTCAACAAAGATATTAAAAGGTGCTTTAAACTGTCCAGTAGTTAGGGAAATTCAAGCTAAAAGTAACTTTAAATTTTTTAGATTGGCAAAAGTTAAAAAATAATCATACTGCTTTGGGAAAAGGACACTCATGTATTGGTAAAAGTAGAAATTATCATGATTTTTAAAGAAAATTAACCTAGTAACAATTTTTAACATAAAAGTATAGCTGATCCAGTAATATCACTTCTCTCTATCCCATGAGAAATACATATAAAGATGTTTTGTGTTATGCATAACATACAGGTATATTGTAGCAAAAAGTCTAGAAGCAAATGTGTTTTGAAAAGGGTAATGTGACTGAGGCATGGGAAAATAATTCAAAGTGCAAAAAAACCAAAAAATTAAAAACAGCAAAGCATTTAAAATAAATTCTATTTCCTGTGTAATTTTAAACATGTCTATATTATAAAGTAGTATATAAACTACTTCTCCATTACATAAAACATATATGGTATATGTGTGGACTCATTCAGATCCAAGATTCAAAGCAAGTGTTGTGTAGTAAAACTAATGTATATTTCATTTCGGTGAAAGTTTTGACTTCTCGTCTAAGTTTTTCAACAACAATGATCTTGATAATTTTACCAGAGTGCTGTAAGGATTATATTAAATAACAGATGTCTTTACAACATAGTTATGCTCCACCTTTCAATTTCTTCATGCAAGATGCTGACTTGCTCTTATAACTTGTCAGTCTTTGTAAACATATATGGAAGTTAGATGAAAACATGAATTGCTTTCTTACTTTCCTCTGGTGATTTGTCACTTTCCTCCAGTAAAACATTTTCTGAAGAGAAAGGTAAGCTGATCAGAGTATATACAGCTTTACTGTTAATGAAAGCATTCCATTGCCACACATTTGATACCAGGGATTTGCACAGAAGGGAAAATGGTTCTAGTGCACCACTGACATACTGGCATTGCTTCCACCTGGACTCCGACAGCCACTGCAGGTGCTGATGGATACAGACTTCATACATGCCTCGGAGAAAAGGAGAAAATCACACCAGAGTGATAAAGCCTCAACCTTTAGTTACTCACTACACAGTAAATGCCTAATAAATATTTTTTGTGGAGGGAAAAGTCAGGCCATATAAAAGTTGCACTGAAGGTAACATTTTTCATTTTGTTAAAAACATATAGTATTAAATTCACCATCTTAACCATTATTAAAAGTATACAATTCAGAAGTGTCAAGTATATTCATATTGTTGCAAAACAGATGTCCAGAAATTTTTCTTTTTTTTTTAACGCTCTTCTTCTTTATTTTTAAGATGTATTTATTTGTGCACACAGAACTGGGGTACAGACCAGAGGTGTAGGGGTGGTGAAAGGATTCACTAGAGACAGAGTGAGGAACAGAACAGGTGGATAGATGAAGTACACTGCTGAGGGGTCCAGTGGGCAAGACAGGAGAGGTCTGCCGTGCCATGTGGATCACCTCCCAGGCCAAGAATCGAACATGCACTGAAGCAGCTGCGGTTAACTTGCAGCTTGCGGTTAGCTGTGCTTTAACCTGTTTCACCACCAGGAAGGGCCAATGTCTAGAAATTTTTCTGAAAATATGAAAAGGTATTTAAAAGAAACTCCTCCCACTCCCAATCCCCTGATAATCCCCATTCTATATCCAGGTTTTCTGACACATTATATAAGATAGCATTTATTGTCTTATGACTGGCTTATTTAGTTTAGCATAATGTCCTCCAGTTTCCTCCATGTGTCAAGATTTCCTTTCTTTATAGGACTGAATAGTATTCCATTGTGCCTATATACTATATTTGGTTTATCTATTCATCCATCAATGGATATTTGAGTGGCTTCCATATACTGGCCATTGTGAATAGTGCTGCTAATATAAATAGGCAAATATATCTCCAATACCCTGCTTTCCTTTACATATATATATATATATAGAGAGAGAGAGATATACTTTATATACATACATATATAGATGCATACATACATACATACATACATACATACATATATATATATACATGTATAGGCACACTGTTGGGTCATATTTCTCATTTTTTGAGAAACCTATGGAAAACCCATCTGGTTCCTTACCCAACAGTGTACAAGGAATTCTCCACATCCTTGTTAGCACTTGCTATTTTCAATCTTTTTAGTAGCCACCCTAATGGGTGTGACATGATATCTAATTGTGGTTTTCCTTGCATTTCTGTGACTAGTGATGTTTAACATCTTTTCATGTTGTTGGTCATTAGTATGTCATCTTTGGAGAAATGGCCATTCGAGTCCTTTGTACACTTCTAAAGTGGGATGTCTGATTAATTTCATTGTTAGTTGTAGAAGTTATTTATATCTTCTATATGTTAACTTCTTACCAGATAAAGGTGAACTATGTTCTACCACTCTACAGATTGTCTTTTCATTCAGTTGATTTTGTCTTTTGATTCATAAAGTTTTTAATTTTGATGTGCTCCCATTTATCTATTTTTGATTTCACTGCATATACATTTGGTGTTATATCCAAAAAATCATTGCAAGTTCAAGTTAAGAAACATTCCCCCTCTGTTTTCTCTTAGGATTTTATAGGTCTATATTTAGGTTTAGGTCTACATTTAGGTTTTGTAATTTGTAGATGAGAGCCCAATGCTTTCAGCATTTTTGAGGATACATGCTTTTAAAGTGTTTGTATGTTTTTTGTTTTGCTTTTTACTAAATCCAAAACAATTACTCTTACTTACTATTTAGCCTAGGCTGGGGAATCAGACCTTTACTGTTTATCAATATGCCAGAATATAAGAAGATATTCCATTCTTCGTCTGGTAGGGATCCGATTTCATCCTGCATTAGATTTCCCTTAGCATTATTTTGCATGATGGTAGTGCAAAGCCGAAAGGAGAAACAAAGTTTATGGTCATTAAACAGAGCTGAAGAGACCACCTGTAAAGGACAATAACACTATTAGATTGATCTAGTAGATCAGTTAGATTAAGCTAGTATTAACTAAGTAAAAATCACATCAAGGAACGTCTCACCTTAAAAATGTTTCTTGTCAATGTGTCTATTGAATTTTTAAGATACCTGTCTAAAAGATTTTTCTCACTTTCTAATTTAGGTTCTTTTGAGAGACTTGCAACTTCATGAACTTTTTTCAGAGATTTTTTCTCCCTCTTCAAACTTTGTTCTGGTTTCTTGTCTTTGGAAACTACTGATAAAACAAACATTTGACGAAACCAGTCTAGGGAGAACCGGTACATGTAGTTGATCTGTGGAAGGCCAGCCACCAGGAAGTAGAGCAAGGCTCCTCGGGTTGCAATGGGCAGGTAGTGTCCACGTGTTTCCTGAATTATGCTCTCTGCTTGTTCTGATGATTTGATGCGTCTTGAAATTTCATTTGAAGTCATTTTGGATTTTCTTAAATTGTCTACAATTTCTGTGTCATCTTGTATAGTTCCTAAAGGTGATCAAATAAAAAGCAAATTGAAATAAAGTCCTTTGGAATTTCAAATAGCAGTTTCCTTATTATGTACTACTTTAACAGTAGTCTTTTGGTGACTTTGGTTTGGAGGTAGGCTTTTAAATGAAGACAGATCGTGTTTAAAAAGTTTTATAATGACACAAATGGACTCTTCCCATTCTTTCACCTGTTCTCTACATTACTTTTGTGGCTGTGGATTTTATTTTAAAATTAAACTTATGGGCCCTCCCTGGTGGTGCAGCAGGTGAAAGCACAGCACGAAGAAGCAAAAGTCACTTCAGCGTGAGTTCGATCCCTGCCCACGCTGGAGGTGACCCACATGGCGCTGCAGACCTCTCCTGACCCGCCCCACTGCTCCCCTCAGCAGTGTACTTCGTCCGTATGCCTGTTCTTCTCCCTGCTCTGTCTCTGGTGAATCCTCTCACCCTCCGCATCTCTGGCCTGTACCCCAATTCTGTATGAATAAATAAATAAATCTTTTTTAAAAATTAAAAAAAAATACATTTCCAATGTAACCCACTATATACATAGAAAACGAGGATTAAATTTTCAGGAAATAAAATGTTCACGATTACTTCATGGGATACATTCTGACACTTTGCACTGTGTTTATGTTTTAGGAAACAAATTTGTTAAAGACCAATGAAACTGATTTCTCCTACCACTGATAGGTTATAACTCACTTTTTGGAAAAGCCCTACTCTAGAAACACAGACAAAAATTTTATCTCTTTCAGATAGTTAAGGTAGCTTTTCTATTTCTTTTTTTTTTAAAGATTTATTTATTTATTCATATAGAACTGGGGTACAGGCCAGAGATGTGGAGAGTGAGAGGATTCACCAGGAATAGAGTGGGGAGCAGAACAGGCAGATCAACGAAGTACACTGCTGAGGGGAGCAGCGGGCGGGTCAGGAGAGGTCTGCCGCACCATGTGGTCACCTCCGGGGCAGGTGGGAATCTAACTCATGCGGAAGTGGCTTTAGCTTCTCAGTGCAGTGCTTTAACCCGCTGCGCCACCAGGGAGGGCCAGCTTTTCTATTTCTTACAAACTTTTATTTTATGGGAAAACACGCCCATTTCCTCAAGAAATTTTTTTATTTTTTAAAAAAATTTTTTATAATGTGACTTCTAGACACATTATAACTTCTGAGGCTCACCTCTGGACATACTTCAGTTTGAAAACAGCCCTTTTAAGTTGTGGTATTAAGAATTAAACATGATGTGATTGCAAGGAATTCTGGGTCTATTACATTCCACGGTCTAGATACCATATTCTTTTTTTTTCAAAGATTTATTTATTTATGCACACAGAACTGGGGTACAGGCCAGAGGTGCAGGGGTGGTGAGAGAATTCACCAGAAACAGAGCCGGGAGCAGAACAGGCTGACTGACAAAGTACACTGCTGAGGGGAGCAGCGGGCGGGTCAGGAGAGGTCTGCCGCGCCATGTGGGTCACCTTCGAGGCCAGGACCAAACTCATGATGAAGTGGCTTTAGCTTCTCAGTGCCTTGCTTTCACCCGCTGCGCCACCAGAGAGGGCCCTAGATACCATATTCTTGACAATGGAGATGAAACTCTCTAAGTAGTGTCTGGACCTAAGCTGGGGCCCTCCTCTCCCAGTTCTCATCCTATCACCCTACTTCCCTAAATGGAGGATCACACCAATGGTGAAATATTTAAAAAGCATACTAAGGAATGTTTGTTCTATTAAAACTTGGGGGAAAGGAGGCAAACTATGCACAGAATCAGGAGACCTTTTTTTAAAAAAATATTATTAAAACCACTGTTAGTAAGAGGCGACAATCTCTTAGAAATATTCCAGATTTCTACAATGGGGTGCAAGTAGTAGTGAGTAAACACTAAGACCACAGTAATAGCATATATTACTATGATGTGTGTTATTGTAAACAACTTTTCTTTTGTCTTATTAAATCTGCCTTTTATCCAATTCAGGCAAATTATAGCAAAAATTGACATTTGTTATATGAGTGGTTTATATAATAGGAGTGACTATGCTTCTGAATCTTTTTTTTTTTTAAACAGGTTTACTGATTATAAGGTGTGCAGAAAATATCCTGGTCATAATGAGGGGTAGTAATGAAGAAACATAAAAATTAAGTGTCTTGGTTTCAGAAATGGGGTGGTTTTGACAAGATAGCCTGATAGTTTGGGTACTAATTTATAGAATCATCCTCCCCTATAATTTATATTCTGTCCTTTACAAAGGTAAACAAAACTCTCCTGCTATCACTAAACATCTTAACTTACCTAGTGCATTCTGCAGTAAGTTTAGGGTGTTGTCCTCCAGTTCTTCAAGAGTCATAGAATCAAGGAAAATACTCTCTAATAATTGGAAACGCTGGTTTTCTAAATGAGGGATCTCATGACTTAATACAGTAGATAACAGTTGATCTTCTAAGCCTTGGAAAGTTACCATGAAGTTGATGATAGTGACAACATTACAAATTGATAGAGAAAAATGAGGGTTGTCTATTTCTGTAGACATGTATAACCTAAAACAGGAGAAAGGAACCAGTTACTCAAAGGAGGCTGGAGTTTGAAAAAATGAGGCTGATAATAAAATAATGAAAAATAATTGTCGTGGGGATAATAAAGATTGGGTTTTAGTGTTACTTAGCCTTACACACAAAGTAGGTTCTCAGTGTATGCTACATGAATATATTTGATTTTGTAGGACTTTAAAAAATAAAACCACTGGCCCTCCCTGGTGGCGCAGCGGGTTAAAGCACTGCACTGAGAATCTAAAGCCGCTTCCGCATGAGTTCGATCCCCGCCTGCCCCGGAGGTGACCACATGGCGTGGCAGACCTCTCCTGACCCGCCCACTGCTCCCCTCAGCAGTGTGCTTCGTCGATCTGCCTGTTCTGTTCCCCACTCTGTCTCTGGTGAAGCCTCTCGCCGCTCCTGAACCTCTGGCCTATACCCCAGTTCTGTATGCACAAATAAATAAATCTTAAAAAATAAAAATAAAAAAAAATAAAACCACTGGCCCTCTCTGGTGGCACAGTGGGTTAAAGTTCAGCACTGCAAGCTGGCCACAGTGCTTCAGTGTGAGTTTGAACCCTGCCCCGGTGGTGATCCACATGGCAAAGCAGACCTCTTCTGCCTCTCCCGCTGCTCCCCTCAGCAGTGTACTTCGCCAATCTGCCTGTTCTGCTCTTCATTCTGACTCTGGTGAATCCTCTCACTTCCCCTGTGCCTCTGACCTGTACCCCAGTTCTGTGTGAATGAATGAATGAATGAACGAATGAGTGAATAAACAAACAAATAAATAAATAAACCCACAAATTATGCCCACACTCTATTTGGCTAAGTATACAACACAAGTAAATAAAAATACAAAATAGAGGAGTTCTGACCTGCCATTAAATTACTGTTAAGACTGATTTCTACTTTGAATAGAAGCCACTGGAGAAATCTGCATAGAGAAAAGACAGGAGCACTCTAGCTATTAGCTTGAGATATGGCTGGGGCCTGGTAGCAAGATGGAACCTGGGAGAATGGTCACAAAGTGAACCATGAGGGTGACCTGGAGCAGGTTATGTCTAGTGGGAGTAGTCAGCTTTTGAATCTTGTTTAGTCTGCACCAAGCCAATAAAGCAGGAATCATTTCTGGTTCCACTTCCAAAGGGTGACGTTAGTGAAGTCAAAAAGTTCACCATGTCACATGGTCAGGCAGCAATGGGGGCAATTAGTCAGCAAAGTCTACCTTCTAAAACAGTCCCCTCTTTATGAAAAAGTGACCAATGTCATTTATCATCAGGAAAATCAAAGTCAAAATGATGAGATGCCACTTCATGGAAACTGTAGGTTTCATCAGAGAACCCCTGGAAAAATATTGGTTTGAAATGATTTCATAAATAAAAATTTGCTCTCTCTTCTCTATACTGAGAAGTGCCACTGATGAATACGATGAGTGTTACTGGCAACATGAAAACAGAAAAGAATATTCAAAATGTAAGCTTGCTTTTTTAGGGGAAGCTTATCAAGACTGAAATACAGGACCTTTGTTATTATTTGTCTTAAAAAAAAACTTTGACATAATTCAACTGCGAGAGACATTACCTAAATTTGGGATTGTATTCAATCTCAGAATCATCAACCCTTATGAAATATTGTCCTCTTTTCTGATAGATATCCTTCTTCAAAATGGCCTTTAAACTTGGAGTCAATGTTTCAGAGATATCCTGAAAAACCCAATAGACATAAACAAAAATTCATCTTCTAACAAATAAATAAATCAAAAAGATACAGCATTAAAAATAGTTAAATCTTATTAATACTTGGACACCACTGGAGGTGAGAGAACTAAACATTGAAAACACATTTATTTCCTTAAAAATTTCCTTTAACAAGACTACTTGTTCTCAGCCACTTAAATATTGCTCAGTATATGCAATATTTGTGTCAGCTGTATGGAATTAAGTAACTCAACCATTTGGTCCAAATACCTGCAAGAGAACACTCCCTCCTGCTTTTATAGCATTTTCAATTTTTTTGATGTAACTGTTATCTTTGGTGGAGAGTTCCTGCAGCTTAGATCCTTCCATTTGACGGATCCAATTGTGTGCTTGCTTGTGTGGGTCAATTATCAGCGGCCACTGCAGGGCATTCTTGATCAAGATGGCATTCTCTATTGAATACTGACCAAGAGGCAGTCCTTGATGATTCCATTGGTGGATCTGGAATGAAATCATTAATACTTTCACTGTTTCATGAACTTCTTCTCACCCTTAATATCACACAGGACACAAAGGATCCTACAGGATCACTGCCTCTAGATCAAACAATCCTTTAAATCAGACAATCTCCAAAAGGACTCAGAAATGAACACTTTAAACACTTGGGATTTGACATACTGAGTTAGGTGAGCAATTACACACTAAATTATAATTTTCTGCTCGTCAATGAGGCTTTTTAGGATACCCATCACCACGAAGATGCTATGGGGGACAGAAAAGAAGTAGAAGAGAGAGCACCTATCCCCAAGACTCTTAGGCTAGCGCATGTGTGAAACACAATGGCACAGAAACGTGAAGACATAATGATGGCTGACTCCTACCACCTGCCAAGCACAGGAATAGACCTAGCTAATTTACTATAATCACCTCATTTCTCAGAAGGAGAAACTGAGACTAAAAGATGTAAGGAATTTGGTTATGGTCACACTGCTAAACTGAGAGTCAGACTTAGGGCTTGAGAGATGCAGACTCATACTTTCTTATCCTCTACGGCCTCACTTTGCCCACCATTCCTCCTCAGGCTTTCATCAACAAGCTGGGAGAAGAACCAAGACAGCACCCAGACAGGACATCTGGGAGAAGCCAAGGAGAGATTTTAGTTTTCAAATGAAAGAAGAGGCTTTTTGCTTAAGCCTGCAAAGAACTGTATGCTCTCAAATTCAACAACAACAAAAAGGAAACATGAAGAATCCTAAAAAGCACAAGTATTTCTGTTGGGTGTTATATAGATTACTTTTGAACAGTCAGAGAAGAGCATGAATGTCATTGTGGTGAGAGACGTCAACTTTGAAACCAACAGCAAGTCAGTGTTTCTGTTTTAAAATTAGTCATTTGCTTCACTTATTAATGTTATTTTACGGTTCTATCCATTCTCATTACTGTAGAGCATTCCATTTTATGAATACCTCAGTTTATTTATTTTACTGTTGAATGCAGTTGGATTGTGTCAAGCTTGTAGCTACAATGATTTTTTTCTTCCTCCCCCCAGTTTTATTGAGAAATAATTGACATAAATTTAAGGTGTACAGAGTGATGGTTGATTTTCATATACTGAGAAATGATCACCACAATAGGGTGATCATCTCATAGGTACAACAAACAGGAAAGAGAACATTCTTGTGATGAGAATACCTTCAGTTGGTGAAATTTTCTAAGAGCAAAATTTTGTTTCTCTGTGTTTCTATTTAAGGGAGCTGTTGAGCTGATCCTCCTTATTCTGCAATATTCCTCACTGAGGGCCCTCCCTGGTGGTGCAGCGGGTTAAAGCATAGCACTGAGAAGCTAAAGCCACTTCCACATGAGTTCGATTCCCGTCTTCCCGGGAGATGACCACATGGCGTGGCAGACCTCTCCTGACCTGCCCGCTGCTCCCCTCAGCAGTGTACTTCATCAATCTGCCTGTTCTGCTCTCCACTCTGTCTATGGTGAAGCCTCTCGCCGCCCTTGAGCCTCTGGCCTGTGCCCCAGTTCTGTATGTACAAATAAATAAATCTTTAAAAAAAATATTTTTCACTGCACTTGGGTCAGATCACATAACTTACGTGATTTAATTTCTTTGACATTTGTTGACACTACCTATGGTCCACCCCATGGTCATATCTGGCGACCTCCTGTCTGTTCGCACAGCGTGTGAGCCGCAGTAAGGTTGTTGTGTACTGTCTATACCTATTAAACTCATTTGTTCACTATGTTCAAATCTTCTCTACTCTGACTAATTTTTGTGTCCTTCTACTCTGAGTTACCAAAAAAAAAAAGTGTGTCATACTCTTAAAGAAGTGTATTAAAATCTGCCATTATGATCACAGATTTGTGCATTTTTACTGTTAGTTTTTTCATATATCGTATTTCCTGTGCATTATTTGAGGTCAGGTTATTAGGCACAAAGAAACTTAGAGGTGATAACATATGCTTGGAGAATTAAGCCAATAATTATGGAAAAATAAGCTTATGTAATCTAGCAGTCCTTTTTCAACATTAGAATCTACTTTTTGGTATTCTATGTTCAATTTCTTCCTACTTTTTACTATGAACCTTTTTTATGCCTTAGATACATCCTTTCTTTTTTTAATTATATATATATATTTATATTTATATTACATCATTCTTCATTTTGTACATTTTTCATCTCTATTGTAACCCCCATGGACTTCCCACCACCAATTCACCCATGTGCCATCACCATAGTCCCATGTGCTCTTTAGCCCCAGTTTTGATCCTACTCCCCTATCCACCCCCCATAGAATGTTATGTCCTTTCTAAATAACATTTGTTTTCTGTTTTGTGCCTTGGTTTATATTTTTATGCAATCCTCCTATTTTATCCTTTTTTTTAAAGATTTATTTACTTATTCATACAGAACTGAGGTACAAGCCAGAGGTTCAGGGACAGTGAAAGGCTTCACCAGAGACAGAGTGGGGAGCAGAACAGGCCAATTTATGAAGTACACTGCTGAGGGGAGCAGCGGGCAGGTCAGGAGAGGTCTCCCGTGCCATGTGGGTCACCTCCAGGGCTGGGATCGAACTTGCACTGGAGCAGCTGTGGCCAGCTTGCAGTGCTGTGTCTAACCCATTGCATCACCAGGGAGGGCCTATCTTATTCTTTTAACTGGATCATTTAGTGCATTCACATTGAAAGTAACTACTGACATATTGGGGTTCAAATTGGTTATTAGCACTCCAAAATAAGAAGTCAATACTTGCTTCTCAGATTTTATAGACTGGATGTTCAATTTAGTTGGATTCTTAGTGGGTAAACTAGACCAAAATAACTCTCTGGGGATGAAAAAAAATGTATTTTTCTTCTTTTATCCTTTTAACCTCTTTTATCCCTATTATAGAACTTACATAAACAATAAATACTTACTGGTAGTCGTAAGACCTATCTTTTTGAGTATTTGTAATAATATCACCTGCAGGTCAATAAGTTAATCAATTTTACTAATGAAAGGGATTTCGAAAAAGAAACTGACTATACTTGGTAGGCCAGAACGGTCGGATTATAATGAGAAAAAAGGATATTTTTTAACTTACCCAGAGGATGAGAATTAGGAGGTTTAAGTAATTGAGATACTAGAACTTAAAAAAGAATTAAGGCCTGGAGCAAGTTTCAGTATTTTTCATTATAAAAATAATTTTGGAAAAAGATCCAAGCAGAAAAGATGCACAAACACCAAAAATATATAAATCAACAATAACAGTCACTTAACTGGATTGTAGCAATATGTTACTACCTCAAGTTTCTGTGCCATGACTTCAATTAAAGAAAAATTGGGAGAAAAGGAAATGTTGTTTTTGGTGCAAAGTTTCTCCCATTTCTTCACAATCAACTTGCGAAATTCTTCCGTTAACACTCCGCTGTAGACAATGCATGCTGCTGATATGAGGGTGTCCCCCAAAATTCCTTCCAGTTTCATGTCTATTTGATTGATTATTTCTTGCCATCGACTCTAAATGTTAAAGCAAAAATAGCTGTTCATATTTGATATAAAACATACCATGGAGACACCTTATACATAGCTTTGTCAGACCAATGAGTGCTAAAGTTTTTGTAACAAAAGAGAATAATGTCAGACCTTTGGAGTCTGTTACTTCTGTTACTACTTGATTGGGACTTCTCTGTTGTTAGTAAGACTGACGATTGTTCCCAATAAAAGTTGGGTCATTAGATAGTTTTAGATGGGCTATATCATCCTCTTCAATAGAAATAATATTTGGGGTTTGTGAAACCCAGTGGAAATTAAGGAAGAAGATAAAACCCGCAAACAGACATACCTTCTCGTCCTCCAGGGTAGTTATTAAGACAGAGGCACACTGCAAGCTCCTGGTGGCCCGTTGCTTCCTATTTGTCAACAGCTCTATTTCAGCAACAATATCCTTGCATGCTGCCTGCAAATTCAGCAGGTGCTCTTCAATCTGAAAGACAATTATTTTGTTATTGAGACAAAAATCTTACACTCATTTTGCTTTAGCCCTTTACCTTTCATTTATATAAATAGAGTATGTTACCACTGTTCTTCTTGAACAGATGGGTTACATTCCCAATGAAAATGTACACCATTGCAGTAACTAAATAAAGAAACTCTTGAAAGTGGAGTCTGCTTTTTAAAAGACTATCTATCCCAGTGGGCTTTTTTACAATCTTAGCATTTTGAGGATTCATAATTTTATGACTTATTTTTTTACAGAAAAAAAATATTTCAGCTTCTTTCTCTATGAAAATTATTGGACTCTTCATCCCAGATACACTGACAGTGCATGTAACTCATGGGCTTCTGAAAGTAGTCAGGTAGGGTTGAGTGACTACTGAAAGTATCCCTCATGAGTGGCCACTTGGGTCAGAAAGCAAAGCCTAACTTGCTGTTGTCCCCAGGAGATGCATCTAAGCTTCAAAAGTAAGTGTAAGTTGGCCCTCCCTGGTAGCGCAGTGGGTTAAAGTGCAGCACTAAGAAGCTAAATCCACTTCTGCATGAGTTCGATTCCTGCCTGCCCTGGAGGTGACCACATGGTGTGGCAGACCTCTCCTGACCAGCCCGCTGCTCCCCTCAGCAGTGTACTTCGTCTATCTGCCTGTTCTGCTCCCCTCTCTGTCTCTGGTGAATCCTCTCACCCTCCACATCTCTGGCCTGTACCCCAGTTCCATATGAATAAATAAATTTAAAAAAAAAGTAAGTGTAAGTTAAAAGCAAAAAAGTTGGAAAACAAACTAACAAGCAAATAGGGTACAAAAAAAAAGGCACGGGAAGAAATGCTTCTATCAGATACAAGACTAATAGGTAAGAAAAGTAACAAGAGGTGAACATTAAATGATCAAAGGATCAATACCTTTAAAAGATATAATATTCATTAGTATATATGCATCAGACAAAGAACCACCAAAAAATATAAGGCAACTGTTATCAATCTGATACAAGACACAGGCAGCAACAAAATAGTCATGACTTCAACACCCACCTTCACCACTGGACAGAGCAACCAGAAAGAAGATAAACAAGGAAGCAATCGCCTTACGTGAGGAGATATCTGTAGGACACTGAACCCCCCTGGGAGCTGAAAACACATTGTCCTAAGTGCACATGGAATGTTCTCCATCATCGACTACATGCCAGGTCACAAAACAAGTGCCAATAATTTCGTGAAGACTGAAATCATATCAAGTATATTCTCTGGTCAGAACCCACATGGGGGAAGGACACAATATGCTATTGTGGAGGACGTGACCGCCTCGGTGGTGGGAGTGGTTGAACCACATGCACTGAGGAGGTGTGGTCCTATGTCTGTGAATCACGTGCAAAAGTCTAAACCAATGTTAACACAGTAAAAAAAAAAAAAACTTTCATAAGTTAAAAAAATTCTTACCAGCTGTAAACCTCTCTGTTTTTCAGCCAATCTCAGTCGATTAATATTTAGGACATTTTGAGCCTCAGCTATTTTGACTTGTTTGGGTCTTACCAGCTTCAAATAGAAAGTCACATAATTTAAGCATTAAAGTCAAATTCACTGTTAAGAATGTTCGCTGTTAAGAATGTTGCTTATGTTTGAAAGACATCTGTAGATACCGACTCTTTAGAAAACTTTCTCAGAATTATGTATACAAAAATGTGTACAAACGGGATATAGTTATTTTGTTACAGTGAATAGTAAAACAAACAAAAGCATAGTTGTTTTAAATAAAGTCATTCAACAGGAGCACTGAGTTAATAAAGGTGTGAGTTAATACCATATGTATAATAAAAGTGCTTTCATTAGATATTCTTTTCACAGAAATTCATTTGATCATTGTTAAGTAAAACCTATTTCAGGGCCCTCCCTGGTGATGCAATGAGTTAAAGCACAGCACCACTTCAGCACGAGCTCCATCCCCACCCCAGAGGTGACCCACATGGCGCGGCACACCTCTCCTGACCCACTCGCTGCTCCCCTCAGCAGTGTACTTCATCAGTCAGCCTGTTCTGCTCCCCACTCTGTCTCTGGTGAACCCTCTCACCTCCCCTGCACCTCTGGCCTGTACCCCAGATCTGTGTGCATAAAGAAACAAATCTTTAAAAAAATAAGTAAAAACAATTTCAGGGACAAAGTGTGTCAAGTTCACACTGTTCTAGATATTTGGGAGTCAAGAAATGATACCTTCTGTACATCGTGGTAGTTATTCACTGCTATAACCCACTGGCACATAGAACAACAAGCAACAGAGACTAGAGCAATCTTTTTCGGATTGAAGTCAGGCAAGCTTAAAATTTTTTTCAGCTTCACGAACACCTAGAGAGAATACAGTTCATGTATGACATGACAGTGAGATATGATTGATCTGAAGTCTCTCTCAATCTAGATTAGAATAAAATTTATGTAAGAAAGACTCCGCAATAATTCAACAGGAGAATCAAAGGCACATCTAGGTATAAAGTAGCCGGAGTCGCAGTAACCTTTGAAGAGGAAGGGGAAAGTCTCTCGCAGACACCTGGTGGTTACTGTTTTTAGGTTTTTGTTGGCAGCGGCCTGGTACCAAATATTTATTAGGTTCTTGTGGCCATCATAAAAAATGCCACATGACTTCAAGTTAAATGTGGAATCTAATAAAAAAAGCAATAACCTACAAAACTGACTCGTAAATATAGACAAGCCAGATGGTTTCCGGAGTGGGGATGGGGCTGGGAACTGGGCAAAGTGGATCAAAAGGCACAAATTTGTGGAATCTACACTCAGGGGAACACTTAGTTATTGAGAAAGAGGAAATTCTGGCACAAAATGGATGGATCTTGAGGTGATTATGCTAAGTGAAATAAGTCAGTAATTAGATAAATCCTGAGGACATACAGTATTGGCTACATTTAATAATAATGCATTGCACATTTGAAGTGAAGAGAGTAGAATCAGAAAAGCCCTCATACTTATAAGAAGAAAAACATTGTCCCTGTTTGTAGTGATGGATGTTAACTCAGATTACTATGGCCATCACTCACAGTACCGCACACAAATTTGAATCTTTATCTTGTATAGCTTGAACTAATATCTCATGTCAATCGTATGACAATAAAAAAACTCAAGCATCTTTATCCACTCACTGCATTTTCACAATATAATACAATTCATCCAGAAACTTTCTCCCACCATAGACCTCTTTTCTATGCATATTATTTAAAGAGATTTTGACACATGAAGTTTTCTGATCTTGGTGACATGTTGCTCTTCCTTGAAACTTTCAGAAGATCTATAAAGTCTGGATATTCACCTTGCTCTAGCTCTTTTAGCTCTTAACTTGCCTGTCAGTTTTAATGTGATTTCAATTCCTAATACACCTATTGGATGCTTGTATATTATAAATACAGACCGCATCAGTTATGTATTAATTTGGGTTAAACTTGTTACCTTATCAGGTATGCTGTCCTTGTCAAGGTTAGACAGTTTTTTAATAAAACCACTTTCTAAAAGAAGTAACTTTGCTGTAGCCCAGTTAGGCTTCTTTTGCAGGAGAATGCAAACAGCATTCATAACAGTCAGTACAAGGAACGGAGGACGTGTGTACACTCTGAAATAAATGGTAAAATTCTAGTTAGCTTTACAGTTAAAAATAAATGCACTCTTTAAATATCTCAGAAGACAATACTCACAGTTTTTAAATGAGCCAGAGACTGAACTCAGGCTACAACATTGAAAGCTTGATAAGCCACCTAATACCTCTCTTGTACTAGGGCCGAAGAAAGGGTTCTACCAAAGGAAACCTCTAATTAGAATTACAACCTCAATGTCCAAAGATAGATGACTGGATCAAAATGATGTGGTCTCTATACACAATGGAATACTATTCAGCAATCAAAAATTATAAACTTATGCCATTTGCAGCAACTTGGATGGAGCTGGAAGGGATTATGCTCAGTGAAGTAAGTCAGAAGGAAAATAACTGATGGTTTCACTCATAGGGGTAATACAGGGGAAACAAATAAGGGATCAGGACAAAAAATAATAATAGATAAAAAAAATTAACAGGCCAACTATAAATGGAGACATTCTTCAGGGGAGAGGGAGACAGAGGGATCAAAGCAGGGGAGGAGAGCGCAAGGGACTATGGTGATGGTGCCTGGGTGAACTGGTTGCTGGGATTTGGGGGGGCACCTTAGAGAAGAAATCAAATATTACACAAAAATGAACAAGGATGTAAAATATATGTAAGTAATTTTCAAAGTAAACTTTATTGAGCAGCTGCCTTATACCAGACTCTATTTTAAACATAGAGAGGCGACACAGCTGTCTGCTGTTCCTGAAACCCACTAAACACAGTCCTGCCTTATGACTCGTGTTTAAAGTTTGGGTTTGAGGAAGGACACAGGGCAAGTGCTTTCTATTTTACAAATAGCTGTTTTGCTATTTTACAAATAGCTCATTACAATATCACATGCGGTCCCCACATTTTTATAGAATCCCAAATGTTCGTTCACTACCCTGGAATGAAGTCCTAGTGCCTAAGATACTGTCTTCATATTCTCAAAAATGCAGGTCAGGTGTTTATATAATCACCATGGTTTTTCCTTCTATTCTACAGAAGACATTGTTTTATCCATTATATGATGCACATTTTCACATCTCTGAGGATTCAGTTTTATAATCAAAAGTGCACCATACAGTTTACTTGGCAGTATTTTTTTTCCCTTCTTAAGAGAACATAAAATACTGTAAAGTGGATGGTAGCATAAGCTTGATAAGATACAGTATATATCACACCTAATGAAGAATAAGAAAGATGGGTAAAAATTACTTAATCTAATGGGATACAAACTTAGTAACTTTCACCATGAATTTATGCTTTATTCTGAGACTTTTTAACTCAAAAGAATGTAAGTAAATTACTCACCTTAACTCAGCCACATAAGCTTTATCCAGGGCATTCAGAGCCACCGTTGCCTTTTCTACAGCTGACAGTACACTTATTAGCTCATTGGCAGTTTTCTGCAGTAGAATCACAGACCCCCATTTATACAAATGAACACAGCTGCATACTTAAAACGTTCACACTGTAAACTTGGAAAATATCATTGACATTTTATGAAGCACACATGTGATGCACCACACATAGCAGACATGTATACATGCCATACCTACATGTATATTGCTGGCATCATGGGGCACAGCCTAAAGGTGTTATGTTACCGAAATGCTGAGAGAAGTCATCCATGATAAGCAAAAACACAGAGTTGCTTCTCTCTTCTCCCTGTTAGATTCAGGGTAGTATAATAGCGCTCTTTGATGAGCTGTCTAGTTAAAGGTGAATTAATTTCCTGCTAAGGAAGCTTAAGTTTCAGAGGCCCTTAAGCACATGGGAGCCTCCCAAGACCCTGAATGAGTTCTACCAATACATTGGCCATGTGTTTCATCGAGGTGCTTGATTCAAGCGCTGCACATGCCGGGAGTATGAAATGCCAGCCTGTGCCTTCCCTTGGCAAGGGCAGCTGGTCGCACCAGGGCTGTTTCTGGTAACTGACTAAGCCAGACCCATTTCCTGTTGAGAGTCTGGCTTAAGAGTATGGTGGGGAATTGGTCAGTTTAAAAGAGAGGATTATTCGGGCCCTCCCTGGTGGCGCAGCGAGTTAAAGCACAGCCCTAAGAAGCTAAAGTTTGATCCCCGCATGAGTTTGATCCCCACCTGCCCCGGAGGTGACCACATGGCGCGGCAGACCTCTCCTGACCCGCCCGCTGCTCCCCTCAGCAATGTACTTTGTCGATCTGCCTGTTCTGCTCCCCGCTCTGTCTCTGGTGAAGCCTCTCACCCTCCGCATCTCTAGCCTGTACCCTAGTTCTGTATGCACAAATAAATAAATCTTTAAAAAAAAAAGTGAGAGAAAGAGAATTATTCGGTATGAGAGAAGACACACACACTAGTGAGACTCTAAAGGTGCTTCATCTCAATATGCCCCTGTCAAAGGCTTCAAGCAATTTTGATCTGCCTTGAATGATTTTCTTAACAAGAACTGTCCTGTAGTTTCCTCATATTGTAAGTTCTTCATGGACAGGACCAGGTATCTCTATTTCCCCTATTAAATATAATGGTGTCTAGCATGTAGCAAGCACTCAATATATGTTCCTACAGATAAAAATAAAAAGTATTGAAAGTTGGGGTACAATATATTTAAGAGCAGTCAGCCTGAATTTTAAATTTCAGATTTAGGGAATAATTTTTCAAATCTCCAATTATTTTTATTGATCACATTATAGTTTACCTGATCATAATCGTGTACAATTCTTACTGCTTCTGCCATAATATCTTCATCCTGTTTAACAAGCATCTGAACTTGCTCAAATACTTGTGAATCTCTCTGTAATTTTTCCATTAGGATTTCCTTTTCCTATTAAGACAATTTTTCTCAGAATGAATTATAAGTGACAGGATAATCTTTGTTTAAAGAGAAATTCAAATACTTCATTCCATTACAAAATGTTTCAAAATCAGCCTGAAATATATGCTTATATTTAACAGGCTAATAAAGATCACTACAATGCGTATCACTTCAGGTAACAGACGTAAAGACAGTTGATTAAGTAATGCTTTTTAGAATATTCTACAGACTTTAAGTTACCATAACACATTTCAGACAGATTTAACTAGTAGTATAGAATTTTTCTGCATGAGTATCTACAGGTATTTATCTATTATCTATTTAATTATTAAAATATGAAGTCATTATTACTTTCCTATTGATATTGTTAATGCTTTTTTTTTCATTTTATAGGTAAGAAAATCAAGGCACACAGTTATATGATAACAAAGCTACATTTGCCAAACATCGGAGCCTTTGTTTTTCAGACACTGCTCTATATTAAGCTATAAAATCTGGGCCTCCCTGGTAGCATAGAGGGTTAAGTCTCAGCACTATCATGCTGTCACCGCTGCAGCATGAGATCTATCCCTAGCCAAGGAGCTGACCCACATGGCACAGCTGACCTTTCCTGTCTCAGCTGCTGCTCCCTTGAGCAGTGTATTTCAGTACATCTGCCTGTTCTGCTCCCCACTCGGACTCTGGTGAATCCTCTCACCGCCCCTGCACCTCTGGCCTGTACCCTAGTTCAGTATGCATAAATAAGTAAAAAAAAACACACACACAAAACTAAAAATCTTTAAAAGAAATTTCAAAGCATACCTTTGTTTTTTGTTCTATTTGAGGGCCAACAATCAAGAGCTCCTGCTGCATATCTGTAATAAGTGTGGCTGCTTCCAGAATCTTGGATAGACCCATATAGAAATGATCCCTGAAGGGAAGAATAGTACTAAGGTAGAAGATATTACACAATATTGGTCAATACAGCTCATCAGTACTTAAAAAGAATACTTCACAACTTAACGAGGGTTGTTCTGGGGATGCCAGGTGGTTTTAATACTTAAAAATCAATATTTACATCTTTCTTTTCTTTTCTTTTTTTTTTTTTGAGCACTTTAGGTTCACAGAAAATGGAGCAGAATACAGACTCCAGACTCATATTAACCTCTGCCCCTCACTACAGGCAAAGCCTTTCCCAACATGGCTATCCCACCACGTGTTCATTTATTCAACTGATGAGCCTACATTAACACATCATTGTTATCCGAAGTTTGCATATTTCTTTTTGCTCTAACCCTTGCTTACCACACACAAACTAGTCTAAACTTTCTAGCCTGCATGATAAGTACATTACCCTGGACTTCCTGCTGGCAGTTAGGGCGCATTCCATGCAATTGGCAATGCATCTTGATGCCCCTAGTTTAATGCCATTATTTATTAAGTGGTTTAGCTCCAGGGAAGGAGCCTGGATGTGGTCTGTGCTCCAAGCAGGAGTCACAGTCTTGCTCACCCTCACTCAGTGTGCCTGAGACAAGTGGAGTGAGATTCGGTTCAAGCCACCACCTGTGTTATTAACCGGGTATCTGACAGTGGGTCTGCTTTTGCTTAGTTGAATGTAAGACAGGTTGAACAAAGGCATTGTGGGGTGATCCTCCACATGGTGCCCCAGAAATCCTCCAGGTCTCCAGATAGGGAAGGTTTAACTGTGACTAACCAAGTCCTCACAGAGCACCCTGTGAGCCTCCTAGAATAAGAACAGGCAGAATGTTTGTGAGCAGATATTGTACTTCCTCTCCTGAGAGAAGCCAGTGTTTGCTGGGTTCAGGTTTGGTGTGAGTCTTTCTGCCTCAAATTCCCTCCCTCACCTTCCCACATGCTAAGTTGCTGCAAGACTCGGGCTCCCCAGTAATAGGGTGGACCACTCTGTGTTTGTCTTTTATTTTGATGTTGCCCCATGGGACAGGCAACATCTCATGGCAGGGAGGGTGTCTTTGGACACTCTCATTTGCATTGTCAGTGAAGGTAATAAACTGTGAATCCAAAAAGGGCTCATTGTTCTTTACTGGCTGAATCTATGTTGTTTCCACAGAGTCTTCGAATGTTCACAGGGGAGTTATTCATCTCTACTCTTTTAAGTTCTTCTACAACTTTTCCTTTTTCTCCCACTATATACCCCCCACACTAAAAAAGTGAATTTGGGATTGTTATTTTGTTATTTGTCTCTTTTCACAAATACAAGCATGCACACACATACACTTCTGATTTGGTCTCTTGGTCTTACCTTTTCATTTGCATTTCCTTTTTTTGTGACCTCAAAATACGTGCAAATGTTTCCATGAATTGCAAGTAGTTACTGGGAGTGACATAATAATATCTTCTAGTTTGTTTGAAGAATTTTGTGTTCAAGTCTTTTACACTTTTATGAATTTGGACACAGGTTGGGGCAAGTTTTTCTTTTAAGTTCTGAAAAATAATTATATTTAAGAATTCAGAGAAAGAAACCCAAACATACATGAAAAACAAAAAATTGAACACAAAATAACTAAAAATAGTTGATCATTTCTGAGGTGTGGAGATGCAGAAAAAGGTCCTGGATAACTGGGACCAAGAACAATGGTTGGGATGGTGAGAGGATTGAGGCAATAATATGACTAATGATTGACAGGCCAGACTCATCTTCTAGCCTTTATCCTCATTTCTGCTAAAGTCACCCAAGAAATTAGAGAACCAGAGTCAATGGCCAGGAGTTATGTTGTTTTCTTCAATCTTCCTTTCTTGAAGATGAGTTATCAATTGCAAGGTATTCAACTTCCTTCAAAGAACAGGTAGATATACAAGTAGAAAAACCCAGCGTAGAAAGAGTTTCCCCTTTGCTTAGCTCTAGAGAGAATTCTGAGACATCTCCTAGTTCTGGTACCTCTCTCCAGGCCAGTAAGCCTAGCCAGTCTGGTTACTTTTCATCCAGCTGCATTTTCTTCCTGGCTCCAGCCTGTCTCTGCATTCTTAGAGGTTACATTCCTTGGTTCCTTGGACGAGTGAGGATGCAAGCCCCTTTCTAGGTCATACACTGAACTTCAGGACTCATTGGATTTGATTCTTCCATCATCATCCTGTGGGATCTTTAGTCAAACCACTCTGATACAGATTCTTTTTTACTGTGGTCTAAGTTTTGGACCAATTTTGTATATGTATGCTTTCACTTTTTTGTTGCAATTAAGCCAAAGAAGTCTCTGAGGATTCACAGGTTGCAATATCCTTACCATAGGATTTGGAGTGCAAAATGGGGCTAGTCACCATGGAGGCAGAATAATTGCTGTCCCTCATGGAGGCAGAATAGTGAAGAGATCCAGACAGTGAGGAATCTAAACATCTTTTACATCAAGGGAATTAGATAACAGAGGGGGTGGAGAAATGATTAAAAAGTCAAGACAGGCCCTCCCTGGTGGCGCAGCGGGTTAAAGCACAGCACTGAGAAGCTAAAGCCACTTCCACATGAGTTTGATTCCCTCCTGCCCCGGAGGTGACCACATGGCAAGGCAGTCCTCTCCTGACCTGCCCACTGCTCCCCTCAGCAGTGTACTTCATAGATCTGCCTGTCCTGCTCCCCACTCTGTCTCTGGTGAAGACTCTCACTGCCCCTGAGCCTCTGGCCTATACCCCAGTTCTGTATGAACAAATAAATAAATCTTTAAAAAAAAAAAGTCAAGACAAACAATGACATCTTATGATTTTTGTCCAGACTTGTCTACATCTTCCTGCCTATGGAATTTTTTTCCCCCAGAGAAGTGGTACTGTCATATTCTGTCAAAAGATTGAAACTGTCAATTGCATTAGATTTTAAAAGTTATTTTATTTACCTCTCTGGTCTCTAAATCCACATTTTCTCTTAAGAAAGAGTTGGCTACATGAAAGAGAGCTTCTTCTGGCCACTTGTCATACCAATCAATTGTGCAGGAGCTGATCAAGGAAGGGTACACTCTACAATTATGGCGGAAGTTAGGTTCTACAGGACTCATGGTCATAAAAATGTGAAGATTTTTATATACTCTCTGAAAATTAATGAAGATATGTTAAAATATAATCCATTATGTTGAAAAATATGATATTGAAACTTAAATCAAACTTGTTTTAATTCTTTCTTTAAAGGGTAGGCTAGATATTGTTCAACTTCTTTGAGTTCCTGCTGTAACTAGAATCTTTCTAAGGGGAACTGTAAGTCCCACATGATACTAATGGGAAAAGCAGCTAGGTTCTCCTCTATGTCATCCCATCCTCTTGACTTCAAATGACTACTTTAAGTAAAAGTGGTACCTGGAGTAAGCTGTCTTGTTGAACTTCCCCATGAACATTTTGGTTTGGAAAATCTAATGTATCTGTTTACCAAGTCATTAGTTAGTCATTATGCAATAAAGATAACAGAAAACGTAGTTTGCTGCCTCTAGATGAGGCAGTAATCAAATACTGCCTCATCTACTAGGCTGGTTTCTTTCTGAGCCATCACCTCTTGACAATTATAGAGAGCCATTCAAAGGGATAAAAGATCCCTTCCAGCTCCATCCATGTTGCAACAAATGGCATGAGTTTATCTTTTTGATTACTGAATAATAGTACACTATGTATATACCACATCTTCTTGATCCAGTCGTCTGTTTTGGGCATTTGGGTTGATTCCACATCTTCCCTATTGCAATAAATGTAGGGGTGCAGGTGTCCTTTTGAATTAATGTTTTTTTGGGGATTATAACCAAGATGAAAAAAATATACAGAATGAAGAATAATGTAAATATATTAAAAAAAAAAACAAAGGAAAAAAGAATTCCTGATCTATAATTGTTAATTTTTGTTGTGTTTTTGTTATTTTTTTCCTTGATCTTTGGTATGGTTCCCCCATATTCCTCCTGTAAGTGAAACTACAAAACAAAACAAAAATAAATAGACAACTATACATCAAAGATATTCTGCAGGGGACAGGGAGGGAGGGGGATCAAAACGAAGAAGGGAAGAGCACAGGGGATTGTGGAGATGGTGCACAGGTGAACTGGTGGTAGGAATTCTATGGGGACTACACTTGAGAAAAGAAAGCAAAAAGTGTTTAAAAAAAAACTAACAAAATGTTACAACACAATGATGATACAAAAAAAAATTTTTTTTTAAAGAATTCCTGTATCTTGTTTTTCCATACTTGTTACCCAAATGACTGAAATTAAACCTCACTGGCTAAGAAAAAAATCTCAGAGTAAGAAATAATCAGGATTATCTTTCTCTTTACATTGCCTTCATCTGTTACATTTTTAAGTTATTAATGGACTGTCAGGTCCAAGATCCTTGTTAATCTTTGGCCTGCCTAAGTGTGCAATGTGCTTGTGCATAGGATGGCAGTCATTATTTTAGCTTTAAAAACCCATTTAAAGATCAAAACACAAGTTATCCAACTCAAAAAGTGCAGAATTATAAACTTAGTCTGATTTTAAGTTAATCTGATGATTTGTTAAAATAAATCCACAAAAACAATGTGTACCTTTTGGAAGAATAAAAGCAAAGATTGTCTATTATCAATATAACCAGACTGTTGAGCAACAGTTCTAATCTGTAGTGCAATAGAGTCCAGCTCCTCATTTTCAAAGAAGTCAATTTTTCCCAAGTTGAGAATGCTATTCAAATCTTGCAAAAATGGTTCCTTAAGTGAAACATACATTAAATCAAGAGTGAGTAAATTATTCCAATATCCTACCCTGAGTAAATTATTACTCAAATATCTTACTCTAATTTGAGAAAGCAATACTCAATTATCTTTCTCAATTTGAGAAAGCAATAGTGGTTAGAAACACTGTTTCATTAAAAAATTCTCTTAATATAAGCTCATCGAAACTAATTTCCAAAATAAGCTTCATCTATCTACACACTTACTCAAACATTAGAGAAACATGTATTTGGTGCAGGACCCCTTGAAATTTCAAAACATAAAATGTAATTTGAAATGACATCCCTAATTATGTTTGGGCAATGGAGACTATTATTTAGGTAAAATAAAAGAAAGAAAACAGTTGGGTGATGAACATTTTTTGATTGTATGTCTGAAAAGTATGTCTTGTGAGAAAAGTCCTAAACTGGATGGTGAAATTAAAGCAGAAGGATGATGGAAAGAAGCAGAAACCTCAAATTGGTAACAACATACTATAGATTACATGGCCAGACAGTCGAGGCAGGTAGTGGTATTTTTTTTAAACATAGATTATAAACACATTTTTTTTTAAAAATCAGAGTTCAGATGTAGGAAGGGTGAACTCAGTTACACAGATAAATTACTTCCTATTCGTCAGTTAAAATGACAATTGTAAAATTAAAAAAAATGCTTTTGTTATAATGTTTATACAAAATTGTTGACAGCAGGATCACAAACATATAAACTCTGTTGACCACCACTGGGTAAGGAAGGAGAATGATGAAAAGAAATGATGTGATACTTAATATGACAATCAATAAATATTTTCATTTCAAATACTAAATTTTGAAGTTCTGCTTAAACATCAAACCTTAGAAAAAGAACTTACCTGAACTACATTTAAAGTAATTATCAGAATAGTTGGGCTCCCTTCAATTCCTGCATGAATGAACACCTTTTTAAATTTTTCTTTGAATTCTATGTAGGCACAGTTGTGAGACACAGGCAGCCGGTATAGCTTGTTATCAACCAAATAAGCAGCTATAGTTGCACAAGTTTCCTTCCCACATCCATCTACTCCAATCTTTCGAAGAAAAAAAGTCAAACATGTGATTCCAAAATATGCTTTGGGAATTTTTCTAGTCATATGTGCTAGAATTCTAGATGGCTAGGTACTTTAAGCTATTTTTTTAATAAACTGGGTGGGAGATACATTTAAAATATTAAAGTACTTTATCAAATGTTTTATAAGGCACTCATACGTGTTCAAAATAATCTTTTTATTGCCTCCTGAAATGTGCACAATATCATCACTGAACAAGTACAATAATCTGGAAAGTTAGCACAGATAGCCTTAAGGAATCATCATTATGCCACTGTCACTATGTGATTTGTTGTTTTGAGAATTTAGATAGATAGATCTTTTGCTATTAATTTTGAGCAATATGCAACAAGTGTTCTTTGGTAATAATGACAAAGTCTTACTTTTTAATAACAGCTTTACCAGGGTACAATTACAGGCTACATCTATTTAAAGGTACAAGTCAGTAATTTTTAATGCATTTAAAGAGTACTGCAACAATTGCCACACTCATTTTTATTCATTTTTCTTTAATAGAAATTTTTACTTTTTATTAATTTACATTGGTTTACAATACTATATACATTTTAGTAGTACAAGTCACCTCAGCTTTGTATACCTCAGTGTACCCACAACTGGAGGAAAAGGGAGGTGGGAGGAAAGGCAGAGGGGACCAACTTGATAATCGTGACTGAAACAATCCTTTTAGAACATATCCATCATCCCTCCAAATCCTTCAAGTCTGTTTGACATCAATTTTTATGCAAACTCCCAGTCCCAGAAATAATTAATATGCTTTCTGTCTCTATAGATGTGCCTTATTTTGATATTTCCTATAAATGAAATTACACAATATGAAGTTTTTTGTTTTTTTGTTTTTTTTGTCTGAGCTTTTCTCACTTAACATGATGATTTTGAGGTTCTTTATCTTGGAGTATCTATCAGCAGTTCTTTCCTTTTCATTGTTGAGTATCTATTGTACAAAGTCAACTATATATTGTATTATATGGATATGTCACATTTTGTTTATCCATTTACCTACTGCTATGAACATTTGTGTACAAATCTTTAACTGAACATTTGTTTCATTTTCTCTTGGGTAGATATGTAGGAATAGTTCAGTTAATAGGGTACATTTATGTTATATTTTATATGAAATGGACAATCTGTTTCCTAAAGCAGCTGTACTGTTTTTTCCTCTCACCAGCAATATTTGTGAGAGCCACTTATCTACAACCTTGTCAATATTTGCTGCTGGACATCTTTAAATTGACAGTCACACATGGGTCACACAGTAGTGGTATTACAGTGTGGTTTTAACTGCATTTCCTTAGTGACTAAGGATATACATGTTCATGGCTCATTAATTCAGGGTTGTTGGTTTTTTTTTTCTATTCAGATTTTCTATTTCTTTCTGATTCAGCCTTGGAAGAATGTAAGCATCTTATATACATCTATGAATTTGTCCATTTTTTTCCAGATTTTACAATTTTGAGACATTAAGATGTTCATAGTAATCTCTGGGGATTCTCTATTATTTCTGAGATATTTATTATAACTTCTCTTTTATCATTTCCAATTCTATTTATAGAGTCTTCTCCCTTTTTCACTTCATGACTCTACTAGAGAGTTGTCTATTCTATTAGTTCAAAGTACCAACTTTTGCTTTCATGGATATACTTAATTGTTTTTATGTCTACTCTCTTCTCTAATCTTTTCTTTCAGTTTGCTTTGGATTTAGATTAATTTTTGTAGCTTCATAATTTTGAAAGTTAAGTTGTTTGAGGTTATTTTCTTTTCTAAATATATGCAATTATAACTGTAAATTTCTAAGCCCTGTGTTCAATATTGTGGGTTTTTTTCATTCCTCTCTAATAAAATCTAATAAAAGGACTTTCTAGTACAAGTCCTTCTTAGATAGAGTCCACACCTGAAAGGAGAAAGCAAATATCATACAAAAGTGAACAGTGAAGTAAAATATGTATAGATAAGTAAATTTAAAAGATTTTAAAACACCTTCTTAGAAAAAAAAGTGTGAATTAAATAGTTATAAAAAGTATTAAGTAATGTGGGCTCTCCCTGGTGGCACAACAAGTTAAAGCATCACATTATGAAGCTCTCCGAAGCCGCTGCAGCACGAGTTTGATCCTCCGCCAGGGAGCTGACCCACATGGCGTGACCTCTCCTGACCCACCCGCTACTCCCCTCAGCAGTGTATTTCATCAATCTGCCTGTTCCGCTCCCCGCTCTGTCTCTGGTGAATCCTCTCACCCACCACACCTCTGGCCTGTAACCCAGTTCTATAAGCATAAGTAAATCTTTTTTTAAAAAAAGTATTAAGCAATTATAATAAACATAAATAACAACTTAAAGAGTCCTAAATATGTGGTACATATAAATAGCTGAATATGTACCTTTCTCTATGAAGACTTTTCTCTATTCAATGCTTTTAGGGATTTCCTAAAACTCCCATTGTTCTCACAGAGAAATGAAACTCTACAAAGATTTCCACATGTCGAATATTCCAGTAGGTGTACTATTCTCAAAATCAGGATCCTCCACCTCCCAGACGTGGTGCCACAACTACCTATTTCATTTACATCAAATATATTCTAAAAACAAATGACGTTTTTTATCTGCTGTTACATTTCTTACATAAACTCTAGAAAGGACACAAATTTTGTTCTGTGACTCAGTGACTGAACGCTTCCATAAAAGGAAATGCTGGATAAAGAAAGGTCATAATAGAAAAGTAGATGTTTATGGGAGTGGCTTAATTTTTACTTTGAAAATTTAAAAACTTCTGAAAAATTCAAATTCTTACCAGTAACATGTGGCCCGTTGGTTGCCGGAGGATTCTTGTAGCTCTTGTGATGTGTTCTATAGCTTCTTTGAAGAACACCATGGAATAAGACCGCTAGTAGAGAAAATGGGATAACACGTAAACTGGTTATAGGTGTAGAAAAGCCAAATGTTCATGTGGTTTCACATACAAGAATAATGGTGTGAGAAAAACTATCTTAGTAATTCTATAAAATGCTTACACTATAAGAAATAAATGTGTAAAGTGAAGATAGTTCCCATGCCAACATTCTAATAAGCAAGATTGGGGACTATCAGTCTTGAGAGAAGAGAATGACCAGGAGAACAGCCTACCCAGACTGCTTTTCTATTGCTCTGTTTTGGAGGAGGACAGCAGTGGGAAGGAAAACTTTAGGAAATTGGTTTATGGTATCTAATTTTGTTGGTGCTTCTCTTCCAACACATATCTGCCCACAGCTGTAAAAGAATCAGACCCATTTTGTTGTTCCTTGTGACTAGTTTGGATCCTCTCATCATGTTCTCCACTGCATTTCTTAATTCCATTAATTCTAGTCATTCAACTCCCTACATCAGCTGTGCACTTTGTATTTAAATTTAAACCCTAACTAATAAGACAAAAGTAATATGAAGCTGTATTTCTAATAGGCTTTTAAAACGTGAATGCACATATTTTTGCCTGACCTCTCTTTCACACACACATCTTAAACCTATTTGCATTCATACACATATGTAGTATTCCCAGATTGTATAAGCTATACACTTTTACCTCTGGTGTTGTTGAATTCAACCTTATTTGGAATTCGTGAAGTACATTGGCAAGTTTATCATAGTCATTGGTATTCTGATACAACTTTTTTCTGTGAGACTTGTTTATATCCAAGAAGTCCACAAATACCACTGCATCTTTCATCAGTTTTTCATTCGTCCAGTGAATCTATTAGGAGAAAATAATTTAGTAGTGTCTGTTAATAGAATAATTCTAGTTGTCAAGCTAGTGTAATATATCTGTAACAGAGAAGCTTTTGGCTCAATAGATCTAGGCATTGGGTTATAACTTAACTAGTTTGTGCCATAGACTTTATTTTAGCAGTGACGACTGCGGATCCCTTCTCATAACGGTAACTTAAAATGCATCTTGTCAAATAGAATGGTTGCAAAAGAAATCAAATATTCTGAAATCCAGTTCTCTGTAAGTACTCTTTGAGAGTCTGTGAATCCCAGGTTAACAATCTCTGTTGAGAGATTAACATCTTGAGGCTCACCAACAGTCTGAAAAAAGAACCTTCCCTCATTCAACCTGCAAAGGGGATGGTGTTGGCCAGAAATGACCACAAAAAAACAGCAAACATGAGTTGAATCTTTAAGGGTGGTAATTAGTGAGCTGGGGAAGAGGCCTACAGAATAAAGGCGGCAATAGAAACTGGAGTGTGCCCTGTTAGCACAAGGAATAAGAGCTACCAAACAGTAATGCCATGGAGGGAGAGGAAGAACTGCAGTCTGGGCAGAGTTCTGAGAGATCTTAGATGAGTGAGTAGAGGTGACCATGAGTGCAGAAACAGAAAAGAATTATCCCTAAATCTTTATGAAAAGTTTAGTTTGTCTGATAAAAAAAAAAAGATTGGTAAAGAGAAGTGGATTAATATGAATAATTATATCAAGAAAGGTCTGGCTAAAGAACAGAAAATTTGGACAAAAAATTTGTATGTGTGTGCTTAGAATTTTTTTTAATTTTCTGAATTTGTGACTAAATTTAGACACATGTACACATAGTTTTATAGCTATATATATTTACATCTATGTATACATATGCATTCTGACTTTATAAGGTGAAAGTAGGATGTTAATAAAGTTTCATTAATATGACAGTGCCTGGGGACCTTTATTGTAAACAACATTTTGCCTGAGATGTCATTTAAAATAATTTTTTAAATACAAGTTTACCTGAAAATAATTCTGAAGATCATTTGAAAGAAACTGGAAGAAAAGTCCCTTTTCAGTATGTTCAATTAAGCGATCATGAAATACTCGGGTAGCTTCATGAACAAAAAATAGAGCGGCCATCTCTTGGGAGTTAATAATAGTCTTGTCAGCTTGTAGCAATCCTCGGAGAAGCTATTAAGGAATTAAAATAATATATTTTAATTAACAAGATTATATGTGAACTAAAGGCTCAAGTTTTGCTAATCTTGTTTTTATAATTCTTATTCATGGTAAGAATTACCAACTATAAAATGCAGATGATATGGGAAAGGGGAAATTAGTACAGATAGCATCTTTCTGTAAGAGGTAGAAGACTTAAGGGCTCATCAGTCTCATCTGACAGAGTTTTGCCAGGAGGAAAGCCAGGAGTCTTAACCAGGATGTTGATATGGAGGTTGGTCGTGATATATTCTGATATATTCTAATTTCATAATTTGGATTAAAAAACTTTTAACCCATTTCAAACATTATATATGCCATTTTGAGCTAAAGTAACATGGCAAAGAAAAAAAAGGACAAAAAATTTAAAAACTTTTCCATGTTGATTAAGACTAAATCAGCACTGTCGGCAACATTCCCTGGTGGAAAAAGCAAGACTTGTGAAAATACAAGCATGTTTATGAAATGCATACTCATTTTCATTTTCTGGGTGCCACAATAAAATCTTAGAAATAGATCAAAACCAAAATCTGTGTTATAATCTTGCCACTTCTCTCTGTTGAAGACCCCAGTCAAATATGTAGTAGTCTTAGAAGTTTCAACACTGAGTTATCTGTATGGAATTACTTTAGCAATTCTTTTTAAGTACTTAATTGGATAATCAGCTAATAAGTAGCAACACTAATCAACTTGATTTTTCTTTTATTTCTTTTCTAACAATTTAATGCTGATTCTATCAATGAGTTGAGAAATGAGAGTGAGAGAATTCAGTAAAATTGCATTCCCTCAACTTATATTTTAAAATTAAGCAAAGAGTGAATTTTAAAACAAACCTTAAACACATCTCGAAGATTAAATATGTAGTGACATTTCATCGGAGTTGGTAACATATTCTGACATAGTTGATAGTATATAGCTAAGGAACAAGATATTATATTATCTGTACTTTTCTGAACATCAGATGTGAAGTTATTGATGGAGAAATACATTCCCAAATGAGCCTATGAAAAGAAATTTTATAGTTTAGTCACCAAAAATGTTAAGCATAGCCTAATTTAGTTAATCTGAAAAGATGTGTATGGTATAATGAAGGATAAATTAATAGAGGATAAATTTCATTTAAAATTTTACAATTAGAATCTAGTTTAAACATTAGCAGACTAGTACAAATACACTGTGGCTTTGTAAGCAGGGTTTAATTAGATCTACTGTGATGAATGGTCTAAAGACATGAATCCTGTGTACTCTGGGGGCAAAAAAAAAATGTCTTGGGATCTACCTTTTAAATACACACCATATATTTCTTATGTGCATGATAACGTGTCCTTTATATTTAGCAACAAATTACAACAATGGGATAGAAAAATGCAGGGGGGATTAAAATCCATTCATTTAAGAGAATTTTCTTTCACTGTTCAGGGAGTTAAGTTCTCCTATTTCCCTTATACTATGCATTAACATTTTTTTTTCCCAGTAGAAAATGAGTTAGTTGGAGTACCTGGAAAATAGTGTATAAGGCACTTTGTGGAGGATGAGGCAATACCAAAATGGAAAAATGTTTTAGGAGACGTGGGCTAATAGCCCTCCTACCAAGGGGAGGAGCACATGATGCAACAAGAGAGAAATCTTGAATATTCTATAGGAAGAGTAAAAAGAAAGGCAATTAAATATACTTGTAAAAAGTTAAATATATGCCCTCCCTGGTGGCGCAGCGGGTTAAAGCACAGCACTAAGAAGCTTAAGCCACTTCCATATGAGTTCGATTCCCGCCTGTCCCGGAGGAGATCCACATGGCGCGGCAGACCTCTCCTGACCCGCCTGCTGCTCCCCTCAGCAGTGTACTTCACCAGTCGGCCTTTTCTGCTCCCCACTCTGTCTCTGGTGAATCCTCTCACCCTTTGCATCTCTGGCCTGTACCCCAGTTCTATATGAATAAATAAATCTTTAAAAAATATATATCTTCTTTGAAATAAACCAGTCTCAATGTAGTTTCAAGATATGCTACTTCCAGGAAACTTTCTAATGTCATCAGGAAATAGACTATTTTTAAAAAAGCAATCACTGGAAAACAAGGCTGACAAAGAAAATTCTGGTGACAAAAATCAGAATAGCCTGGTAAGTATGTCTCCAGAAAGCCCACGGTTGGTATAGAGTGAATAGATGCTTGATTGATGCCATTTGACATACTGAAACATCACAGCATTATAGAGCTGTATGGAATCAAGTCTATCACCCACTCCACTCAGTGGGGCACTTTCAACAGCTTTGTTTCTTCCTATCCCGATACCCAGAATCACAAAAATCCCATCGAAGACCTGCCATGCTATTTCGTCAGTACAGGGAATTTCTCCAGCTCCCTTCTTGATTTCCTCTTCTCCTATCTCCTGGCAACCCCAGTGGGCTGCTTCTGGACTCTCATCTCTGCCTTAGATTGGTAGAAGTTCAGGCTGCTGTGCATCACCCAGGACCCTGAAACTGTAATACTACCATATAATTTTTACAGAACCAAGGTCCAGAGAGTTTAAAAAAAAAAAATGTAAGCTGTGGAACACAGGGCTGTTTTCCAGAGGAGACAACAAAGAGGGAGAAAACTGCATTTGTTTTATTTTATTTTATTTTTTAAAGCAAGCCATTCTGATTTGGTTCAGTGTAGCAAAAATAATTGTGCAAAAGTTCTTTCTCCCTGGGCAATTTTTTGACTTTGCAATACTTCTGAAAAACCTTGATCTAAGTTCTTGAAAATAAAGATGAATTTAATTTCATTAATAAATAAATATGTAATCTCACATAGAGATTAAGGATGGATTTATTACTTTGCATTTTTGCTAGCTTTTCTTGTGTGGATGAATTGCTACTGTATTAAAAATATAATTAATTATTAACCATTTAACAACAGTGAGCATTACTTGACTCAGAATCTCAATCTGTAGGACACACTTGTAATTTTTAATAAGACTTAATCCTTTTAAAAGCAGAATTTTTATAAGTTTATGGACCTGTACAAAATTGCAAAGATGCAATTTGTTTGTTATGGATTCAACTGTGCTGTTTACATGTCCACCTGAAGAAATTTTGTCACTAAATTTACCCAACATTCTTACAAATGTTTAATTTGTTAAGTACCAATATATAATGTGAACAAACTTATAGTATTTATCTACCTTCCATGTAAGTTTTTCAGTATCATAAAGTCCTCCCAAGTCTAATAATTGTCTGATTAGTTCCAGAGCAGGCTGTACTCCATAGACATCTGATTCTGGCATAGTCAGATCATCAATGAATATTACTGTCTTAAGAAAGAAAAGTATTTTAAAACATATTCGTTCTTCCTTGATTTAAGTTACAAATTAGAACTATTAATTATGCTATGGCTTAAGAACAAAGTTGTCTGAGATTGTTTTTCTATCAGTAGGCAACTGCAAGTTCCTATTTTGAAGATGTGATTTTAGAAAATAATGGTTTCAAAAAAGCAGAATTTCTATTCATCTCTTTAGACCTACAGTATTGTGTCAAATAATAGCTATGATAGTTATTTGATAATGGATAAAGCAATCTACTTTTAGGTATTAGAAAGGCATATGGCTCAAATAATTGCTTAAAGGAACATTCAACATTTTCTTATTGAGTGCCTACTGTTAACAAGGCACTATCTTAAATTTTTATTTTATATGTACCGCAGTTGAAGACTAAGACTAATATCTAGAACTGTTAAATTTCTACTTTAAATGTTATTGTCATGAACAACCAGCAGAATTCAGACACATTTCCAATTTTTAAACGAGCTACTTTTCACTTTTGCATGTATTATGCTTTGAAGTATGGCTATATTCTCTGTATGCATTAGTTTCTTTAGACTGTATATATTTTTGTAAAAATGTTTTAAAATACAAATAACTTATTTTGAATTATTTAATTTTCTACTCAATTTCATTTTTTAATTAAAACATTCAATTTCCCCTTTTTGTATCATGACTGGATGATTATAGATAAATTGTCTTGACTGAAATTTCTGTTGCTTACATTTTTCATTTGTGTGATTAGGTTGCTCAATTATTATCCTTTTCAAAATCCCTAAAATGTACCAAAGACATTCAAATTTATCCAAGTTTTCAGCTGAAATCAAGAAAATCTGAAGTAAGGCACTTAAATCTCTTGAAATCAGTAGCCACTGGGTTCAATGCAAGCATGAAGGACCACATGCAATTTTCCTATCAATGAATCCTGCAAATCTCTTGACCCTGAGATGGTTTTAGGATATGAAACTAGAGTCAATAGTTGCTAGTTTCCACTATGACAAAGGGTTTGGTTAAACAGGATAGGTAATGTATTGGGCAGACGGAAAGTAAAAATAAGGAGCATTCATCACCATTTCAAGAAAGAGTTGCCAAATTATAACAAGGCTACACTCTCAATACCTTCCCTTAAGATTTCAGATACCACATTCCTCCTCTTCTTTGAGTGCCAAGACATGGTAACATGAAGATGTGTGCTAAAACACACAGCAACAAAACATTTAGTCATTTTCCATTCTTCCTATCTGCTTGGGTTTAATTCAATTCCCAGTAGCTTCTTTTGACTTGAATAACTCTGAGTCAGTATTAATTATGATGGAAACTGTAATTCATCATGATGGAAACTGAATTACACTGATTTGAATATCAACGTCTCCATTATAAAGTGCATTTTCTAAGAATGCTGAGGAGTGGATGTTATCCTTTTTTTTCCTGTTTATGAGCATCAATTAAAATATTTATAATTGGCCCTCCCTGGTGGCGCAGCAGGTTAAAGCACAGCACTAAGAAGCTTAGGCCAATTCCGCATGAGTTCGATCCCCGCCTGCCCCGGAGGAGATCCACATGGCGTGGCAGACCTCTCCTGACCCGCCCGCTGCTCCCCTCAGCAGTGTACTTCATCGATCTGCCTGTTCTGCTCCCCACTCTGTCTCTGGTGAATCCTCTCACCCTCCACATCTCTGGCCTGTACCCCAGTTCTGTATGAATAAATAAATAAATCTTTAAAAAATATATTTATAATTATTGCTTGGAGTGTGTTTTATTTACCCTTTTGTTTTTTGGTGCTCCAATAGTGTCTTTAGTTCTTCTTACTAACTTCTTAAGGATCATCTCCTTGGCTTTGGCAGCTGTTGTACTGATGCTAAAGTTTATAGCAGAGACTACAATTCCTTTGTCGTCATATCTCAATGAGCTTTTATCAGCTTTAAATTCTGAATTTGGACTTTCATCTATCATGTCAAATATGGAAGAAATGTGAAAACATATTGAAGTAACACTCAAAGAATATTTTTCTTTAAGGTGCTAAGAAATATGACAATTAATTTTTTATATTGTTATAATTTTCAAATATTTACTCTTACTATAAATCATAAAAAGAATGCCAATTTTGAAATGTTTCCAAATATTTCCTTACTTTACATAGTAAATAGTGTTTCTTAGCAACGACAGTCAAACGCAACATCATGAAAGCTTATAGAACCCTCTACTCACTTATTCTCATATATACATAAACTCATCATAGTTTAAAAACATTTAGATTTACAATAAGCAAATTTGTGTATTTATTAAATTTATAATGAAGTTGCTCATGAGAGAAAGAACATGTAGGTGCATTACCAACAGCATCTCAGTGAGGACCTATTCTCTGAGTGGAAATCATATAGAAAGGTTATTTGGGATGGTGATGTAACAAATAAAGATAAAAACAAAACCATTAAACTCTTCAGGCAGGAGTCTCATGTACAAGCCCTCCTCCTTTCCAACAGCCATCTCTCAACCACTCTTTTCTTTCTCCTACTTTCTACTTTTAGGAAGTAGAGTTGCTGTTCTCCAAACTACTGAGTCATAATTTTCAAGTATAAGGCTCCTTAAGTTTCTACTTTAAGTGCATATTGTTGACTCTTCATGATGATACATATTATATAGATTTGAGAGCTCACCACAGAATCCTAACTTTTTTATAGTACTATTTCTAAAAGCATCAAAGTATAGAATAGACAGGTACTGTTTTCAGTATATCTAGACTTAGTCTAGGTAAGTAGGTTGAATACTGTTCTACCAAACATTGCAGCTTTTGAGTAGGTAGAATGGCTTGAGAGGATTATGGGTATTTTTCAAGATTTTTAAAATGCCAACTGAAATTTTCATTCTTATATTCTCATGATGTGAAATGACTTGTATGTAGTTGAGATAGGAGGGTTTTGAAACTGCTGTGTAATACTTACCTCCATTTCCTGTTTTAGGATTTTCAGAAAGCAAGATGCTGATATTTTGTTTCAGACTGTTGGAGTAAATGTTTTAATAATTAATTTCTGCAACACGGTAGCCATATGAACAAAAGACAATTAAGAAATCAGTTTGTGCTTGATCTTCTATCTCTTACAAGGAAACAGTCTTTTTCTTGTTCACCTTTTACAGATAACACTAGTGTCACCATTAGAACATGGAAACATTAAAAAACATGGTTATACTAAAAAACAAGCTGGGGAAAGTCATAGGCTACCAGTCTATTAGGTGTCTTCTGTAGACAGTAAGCCATTAACCCCACTTTCTCTTTATAAAATGCATCTGTCCTACAAATCACTCAACAAAAGCTTTATTCACCTTTATTTTATTTTTTAAAAGATTTATTTATTTGTGCATACAGAACTGGGGTACAGGCCAGAGGTTCAGGGGTGGTGAGAGGATCCACCAGAGACAGAGTGGGGAGCAGAACAGGCTGATTGACAAAGTATACTGCTGAGGGGAGCAGCGGGTA